TTTTGATGCCCCCCCAAGATTTGACCAACCACAGCAGCGTTTTGATGGCCCTCCGCGGTTCAATCAGCCACAGCAGCGTTTTGATGCCCCCCCGAGATTTGACCAGCCACGCCCGCGCTTTGATGGTCCGCCTAGATTTGACCAACCAAGGTCACGCTTTGATGCCCCCCCGAGATTTGATCAGCCACGCCAGCGCTTTGATGCACCCCCAAGATTTGACCAACCTCGAATAGGTCAGCAGCCTAGGTTTGAGTCTTCTAGGCCCCCTGGTCCTTCACCTGGTATTGAGTCTCAACCAGTACCTCAGCAAATACGGCAGCAAAGTCCTCAACCTAAGCCAGAGCCAGTCACACAGCAACCTGCTGGTATGGATTCCAAGACTCCAGAAAAAATATCTAAACAGCTTCACCCTGTTAAAGAAAGAAATGACCCTAAACACGGAAAGACCAAAAATTACGATATGACAGATGATAGTTTGCTTGGAAGTGAGGGCTTCTTTGTTCCAAATGATCCAATTCCTCAGACATTACCAAGTAATTCTGATCCCAAAGAGACTGGCAAGAATGCTTCTGAAGATGTTGAGAAACCTTTACCAGTTAAAAGTAATCCTCCTGTAACTACTGCTTCTGATGTTACAAAAAGTCAGACGCCAACCTCCCACAAACCAGATGGACTGTTGACAAACAGCAAACAACCACAAATTCAGAAGCTTCCTGGAATCCAACCACAAGTTTCTGGTCAAATACAGTCAAGGCCAGAAGCTCCAAAGCCTCCACTTGGTAGGGGACGAGGCCACCCCCCATTACGTGGTCGTGGACGTGGACAAATGGGTCCCGGGGAGTTTGGGGGACCAAAAACTGTACCAACTGGGGATAAGATGGAAGAAACTCCATATGATTATGTGCCACCTGAAAGGAAGAGGAGGATTTCAGAACAGCAAGAGGACTATCACTGGCAAGATCCTTCATATGAAGAGTTCGGTGGTGATGAATCAGAAGATCCTCCTGAAGAAACATGGATGCCAGAAGAACATTACTTTCAAAATGAGGAGTATTTTGAAGAGCCCGTAGGACCCCACATGGGTAGAGGTGGCCCCTCAATGATGAGAGGAGGGCCCCCAATAGGAAGAGCTGGTCTGCCTATGGGCAGAGGGCGGCCCCCAATGGGAAGAGGTCTACCTATGGGCAGAGGAGGGCCACCCATGGGTAGAGGGGGTCCACCAATGGGGCGAGGAGGACCACCAATGGGTCGAGGTGGTCCACCAATGGCCAGAGGAGGACCACCCATGGGGAGAGGAGGTCCACCTATGGGCAGAGGAGGACCACCCATGGGGAGAGGAGGCCCAGTAATGGGTCGAGGAGAGTCATTGGACAGGCACTGGGAAGGTGCTGAGTGTGCTGAAGAAGGGGACCCTTATTGGGGAGAATGGAGACCTCCAATGAGAGGAATGAGACCTCCATTCCCACCCGGCCGGGGCCGCCCCCCACGTGGGCACCCTAGTTTCATGCCGCCAGGTCGAGGCCGACCACCTCACCTAGCACATGGACCAATGGATCATGAGACAGTAGGGCATGAAATGGACCCTGATGACGGCAATATGGATCCATCAATGCACCCAATGTACCGTGCACATGACCCCTATGGACACCCAATGCATCCAGATGCAGGAAGAGGCAGGCGTCGTGTGCCACCGCCACCACCTCAGGAAATGATAGATCCTATTGAAGAATCTTCATATGATGAAGAAAGAGAGCAAGAATTAGATTGGCATCCACCCCCTTGCAGAGGTCCTCCACCTCCTCCACATGAGATAATGGATAGGGGAGGAATGAGGAGACGACCTATGGGTCGTGGAATGGGCAGAGGCATGTGGCGGCCAGGTCCAACACATGAGGAATATGAACAGGGCTTTAATGAGGGATATGCTGTGGATTATGATCATGGAGAAGATGGTTATCGCTGGCGGTCAGCACAGGGCTGTCCTCCTGACGACTACAACCAAGATTCTAAGGGCTATGAGTCAGAGTGGAACAGAGAGCGCGCTCCCCTTGAGAGGGACTATCCTCCCCGCATGCCACCACCAGAGCACTTCAGAGATGGACGTTGGCAAGAGGAAAGTGAGAGAGGTCACCCCTATTCATATGATGGACACGGCAGGGGAAGAGGAGAACTTAGAATTCGTGAATACAGAGATGAACCACCATACAGACAGGAGGAGCCATCACATCTACCCCCATCAGACTGGGATAGGCCCTCTAGGCTCCCTCCACTATCAGAGAGAGGATATCCTGACTATCCAGACCGTAGACCCCATTATGAGGAGCATAGAGAGGAGCCTTCTATGGCTATACCTCCACCTCGACCCTCTGCCTCACATGCCACAGACATCCCAGACAGCTCGGCTGAACCAGCAGCCCAAGGAACAACTGGAGCAAATGTACTTGCGCTCTCCCAACGTCAGCATGAGATTATTTTAAAAGCTGCTCAAGAGCTTAAACAAATAAGGTAACTTTCAATCTTTGATAATGAATTTTCTTTTGTACAATAACAGTGCTGTTTAATCTCTATCTTCAGAATTTTATAAAATGGTTTACTGTATAAAGGTTTTCCCATTTATATGTCCCGTTTTCATCATAGTAGTTGTTGTCCCTTCATATTACTCATGTGTTACATACTTTGTGTTTAAGAGTATTTATGAGACAATTTTCTTGGATTTGACGTGCCTTATTTTGATTCCACAGGGAACTACAGGTGGCTAAGACTCCGAGTACCGATCCACAGCATGCACCCAACGAGGCTCTGGCAGAGCTACCCGCAGGACTTCTTGGTTTGGAGATCCCACCAGATGTCAGGAATGTTCTGAAGGTACTAACATTTATTTGTGTTATTGGCAAGAGGGCATTATTGGAAAAAATAACTAATCAACTGTCACTTTCCAAAAGAACCTTACCTTTCAGTTTGTTAATATCAAATCTCATGCACAGGGTATGACAGCAGCACAGATGGGTGTCACTGAGCCAGCGTCTTGGGAAACTAAATCTCTGGGTGTAGATTATCAGCCCTCACTCCACACTGCACCCTTACCTCCAGTGATTCCTAAAACTGTAGATTATGGACACGGGCATGGTATGAGCAGCAAATACAGATGCATTTCTTTTAACTATTATAAAATCGCTTTTATTGGGTGCTGACTGGAACTTTATGTTTTAGAGCCTGGAGCCACTGTTGAACGCATTTCTTATGGGGAAAGAATAGTGCTGAGACCTGATCCAGTGCCATCAGACAGAGGCTATGAGAAAGGTTGGTTTCAGTCTGTAAAGCATATCTTTTCATGATAATGTTTTTATATTTAACTTTTTCTAGACGTGTAAATTCAATACATTTGATTCTCCTAGAACCACTTGGTCTCAGAGACCCTTACACTAGAGACCCATACTATGACAGACGACCGGAGCCATATATGGAACGTCGTGACTACAGCAGAGAGCGGGAATTGTACAGAGAAAAACCTCCTGAATACGAAAGAGAAAGATTTGAGAGGGATCGCTATCTTGCACGGGAGAGAGATGACAGGTAAAACACTTGTTCATTTTATATCCATTTTTATAATCTATTTCAAAGAGCTCCTCTTCTATACTTTTGTAATTTTTTTGTTTGTTTTTGATTCAAGCACTCATGTCTTGGTTGAAGAAAGGTATTTTATCACATTGTTTCAGACATTGGGGTTATTTTAAGTGTACCGAGTTGAATCAGACATTGTGGTGAGGAAATGAAATGTATGGGTACCCTGTGTGCAGGTCTCCTCTGGCTCCAGCTCTGCGCTCGAGTTACAGAGACAGGGATGTTCGGGACAGGGAACGAAGTGGCAGTCGTGATCCAGATGACCACTATGGGAGGCCTGGCTACGACAGACCTCCATATGAGCGTGCTGGAATTGACCGCATTGGACATGAGCGCTACAGCTCACCCTACAGTACGTTGACACACAGTCATCACAATCATCTTCTTCAGTCTTTTTAAGTCAGATGTAAAAGAACTCTGACAATAAGGATGTTTGTAAAAAATACAGCAAGTAAATGGACCGCTAAACCTTCTACACAGATTTGGAATTCTGAGATTTTTTTTGTAACATTGTGCAGTGGACAGAAGAGGTTATCCAGATGAGAGAGTGCCTCCCGCCGCAGCAACGCTCCCACCTCCACCACCCCCACCGCCTCCAAGAGTTGAGAAGAAGCCAGAAATCAAGAACATTGACGATATCCTTAAACCACCTGGCAGATTATCCCGGCCTGAGAGGGTACTGATTTCTGCTCCCACGTTCATTCATGTTGGCATTTGATACTGAGAACTCAAGTTCTGTATTTTAACAGATTGTCATCATAATGAGAGGCCTCCCAGGAAGTGGAAAAAGTCATGTTGCTAAACTCATACGGGTGAGTAAAATCACACATCTTACCGTTGACGATTCCTTTAAAAAATACAGCAGACATCCTACCCAGTAATGCAAACTTTCTTTTTAATGAGGCATACAAATTAAAAAAAGTAACATTCTCTTCTTTCTTTCTTTTTTTTCTTTTTCCCCTCCCCCACTTTTGAAATTCTTAGGACAAAGAGGTGGAATGTGGTGGTGCACCTCCCAGAGTTCTTGTTTTGGATGATTATTTCATGACAGAGGTTGAAAAAGTTGAGAAAGATCCAGACACTGGGAGAAGAGTTAAAACCAAGGTAATTTTAGATGTAGATAAGATCACAGATAAAAAAAAAAACAATGTTTACTGTTTAACATCAGCTGTCATGTGGTTAACACTTGTTTTACAGGTCCTGGAGTATGAGTATGAGCCAGAGATGGAGGATACCTACAGGAGCAGCATGCTTAAAACCTTCAAGAAAACTTTAGATGACGGCTTCTTCCCCTTCATCATTTTAGACACCATTAACGACAGAGTTAAACATTTTGATCAATTCTGGAGTGCAGCCAAAACTAAAGGTTTTGAGGTGAGTTAAGTTCATGACCGAATCCATAAAATAAAAAAACAGCGTTTACCATAAATTTAAAGGTGTTTTTTTGCTACTTGCTTCAAGGTGTATGTGGCTGAAATCACGGCAGACACTCAGAGTTGTGCTAAGAGGAACGTCCATGGGCGCACACTTAAGGATATATTGAAGGTTTAACTCACCAGATATGAATGTTGAGAGAGATGAATGTTTCTGATCGCTTTTCACCATATTCAGTGCATGCTTACCTTTGGAGTATTCTGCACACAGATGTCCAACCAATGGGAGTCCTCGCCACGTCATATGGTGCGCCTGGATGTCCGGTCTCTGCTTCAGGATGCTGCTATAGAGGAGGTGAGCTTTTTAAGGTTTGAGGCTTCTCTGAATCCCAGTAACTGAGCTAAATCCTGGTATGCTTGAGTTTTTAGGTTGAAATGGAAGACTTCAATCCTGATGACGAGACCAAGGAACCGAAGAGAGAAGAAGAAGAGGAGGGTGATCTGGTAGGACATGAAATTTTAACTTCATAACGACATCAATGCCAGGCCCATTTCCACTCATTTTCACTTTCTCATCTTCTATAATCAGAAAACAGCTTTATGCATAGGTTACATACAATTAGATAACATCAGACTCATTCTTAAGAAAAAATTGTATTAAAAGTTAAACTTAGATTTAACCATTGTAGAGAAAAAGATAGCAAAGATCAAACAAAACTGAAACTGTTAAGTGTTTTTTTTATTTCCCAACATGTGAAGTCTTCTCAATTATAGCAAATACCCCTAATATAGAAAATGCTATTCAACTCACCAAAAACAGCAAATGTGGATGAAATCCTTATTCACAGGCAGTTTAAAAATAGTGTACATTTCTGCTGCTTTGTATTAGAAGGAAAAATATGATCATGCTTTTGTGGCTCCCCGAGTCAGTGGTGGCCTTTGTTTAATTCGTCTCACCTTTGCTTTGGTGTCCTTTAATCCCAGGAGCTTTTTTTTGCATGTGATTGGTCTGCAAACAATTTACAGTCACAGCTATGGGGAAAAAATGATGGTCAAACATTATTGAATTAGTTCATTTTGATATTTCTGGTTATCAGATTTTACTGGAACGAAGTTATTGACATTTCTTCACTTGGTGACGGAGGATGTGATTAGAGGCTCTTCTATACAAAAGAAATGGAAAAAAAAATCATAAACATGTCTTACTGTGAACCCACTTTTGAACCTTTAAAGCTCTATTACACTGACCTGTGATGGAATTGATATATGCGAGCCAAGATTTGTTCGATTTTAGAGGCAGATTTATCTGTTTAACTTCACTTGGTTAAAAATACAAAGGTGTTATTAGAAATCTGACAAAACCAAACAAAACTGTGAAGTCGCTTTAGTCTCAGTGTGCCATGAAATAGCATCTTTAAAAGTTGGATTTGTTTTCCAGCATCATTTTTAACATCTTCCAAACTCATTTCACATAGTTGGTTTCTTCCATTTTTCTTTTACTACACACTTCCCAACAACTGAAAACTACTCAAACTTTGTGAAAGACGTGCGATGATCTATTCAAACCTGAAATGATAGTCGTGAAGGATATTGTTAAGAGGACAACATATGATTAAATTATGAAAAATGTTATTCAAATCCCCAAAAAACAGTTTGTGTGTCACTAATACCACGTCGAAGTGAGGCTCATTAAAGCAGAAGTATTCTTTTTTTTCTTTTTTTATTATTCACTTGGCTGGACTGGATCATTAGGAAAAAGTTGCATGGCCTGGTGATCCAGATTTAGTTTAGTTATGCAGAGGGATGGTAGCATCAGCTAAAGAAATGCTGTATCCATCAGGCCAAGTGATCTAAAACCCGGTGAAGACCCTGTGATCTGTACTTAATTCAGCTGGTCAGCTCTGGTTGGTTTCAGCAACTTTGTGTCTGAACATACTGGAGGATTAGGTTTTCTTTAGTGTAGGCTTCACTGAACGGTCACACTCAGGTATCAATGTAAGGCCTTAAGAATTAATAGAATCTCGGACAGAAAAGAGAGTTATAACACCCACTTAAGCTTAAAAGGATAACATGGACAAACCTTTCTTTGTGCCAGCAGTGTACGTGCATGCCTTGGCATTCTGTGAGAAGCACTTATGGATCCATTATTTATCAGATTAAAGCAATGAAAATAATGATAGTGAAAAAAGTTTGTAACATCTTGCTGAAGATGATCAGAAAACAGCTTTGCTAAGATTGAGTGGAAATAAAAAGCTACGTCTATCTTGGTCTCAAATGGCCATGTGTGCCATGTGGTTCTCCACTGTGTGTGTGCGTGGGTGTGTGTTGTCTTTTCATCCCAGTTTTAGAAGCCTTTCACAACTGAACATAAAATCCAGATCCTCATTATTTAATTCAAAACCTTTTCTTGTGGATGCTGGCATGTGTGGTCACTGGAAACTGGAAAATGTTTACATTTTACAACGCCACAAAATGGTCAAAGACCCGAGCTGCTGAGTACAGCTTTGAAAAGCATTTGTTTAGCATGCAGTGGCTTCTTGTCTTTGTTCAGTGTTTCTGGGTGTGGAGGAGCGTCCTCAAATTCCCACTCACACTGAAACCCGAAACCAAGCTACAGCGTGGCATTTCTCGAAGCAACATACATTTTCAACATTAATGGCTCACCTCAAAGATCTAATACCGTAGTTTCCTCTGTGCTCCTGTGTGGCTGTTTGAGTGCACCAAAAAGAAAAAAGAATTGTATGCCTTTGTGGAAACGTGAACATTACATATTTATAACAAAAAAATCTAACAAAAAACAATAAGTGCTTCAAAAAAAAGATCTGTTAGTTTGAGTCAATGGACAACTATATAAATCGCTGTACACTGAATCAAACTTTTCCAGCCGAGGGAAACAGGACGTCTCTTTTTTTTCTTCTTCTTTTTTTTTTTTACGCGGTCAGAACCTACAGCTTCATCGTTCGATGTGTGTCAGCTACAATGTAAACCTTTGATGGTCAAGTTCAGATGGTTAGGAATACTCATTTTGTTTATAAAGTTGCACATGGTCATTCCCCCTCATGGCTGTGGTGACAGTTATGGCTGAAGGTTTCATGCATTTTTGCGTTCATTGTTCTTAAACCAGGAACATAAAATGTACAGGAAGCATCTAGAATTATCTAAACATCATTTACAGCCAGTATTTAAACAGACAGTTCCATCCCACTGTTATTAAATATATATTACAGCAGAAGCCTCTACCTACCAGCTTATTCTTCAACACAAAAAGGAACAGATTTATTCATGATTACAAAAAGATTGTGTGAGGTCAAAAAGTTGAATGCTGCTGAATAAGTGTATATCATATGCATCATATTGTTGTCATAAGTTAAGCAAAGCAACACTTTGCCTCCTTTCGTCTGCGTCTTATCTGATAAAATTATGTTATGCTACTCATCTCTGTGCTGACTTTTGTTAGATGCTGGAAACTGGATGCTATTCCTGAAGCAAGCGGGGTTCTCAGTAGAATAAGCTTTCCATCATAGAAACCAAAGGGCTATTTTCGGGTGGCGTTTCTACAAGGTCATAGAGTTTATTTTTGGGCTGTTTTTAAAGAGAGCGCTCCTCCTGAGAACTTTCTAGAGAGAGTTTATCAAAGCAGAACAGACATGGCCATCAATATTTTAAACTTGTTGACTTGAATGTGGCAAGCATCTCTTGTTTGGTTGAATGGAGTCACAATAAGATCCTCATACATTTTTGTTTTTTTTGTTTTTTACTCATTTAAAAACTGATGGCACAGTGTAAGTTATTTCACAGTAGCTGCTGTGCAACTTTCTCTGATTACATATTAGTATAAACGCATATAAAGAGGGGGGAACTTTTCCTCTAACCACCCTGTGTCTGTCTTTAGTGGAAAGACACCAATTCACTGTATCACTGCCAAAGGGATGGAGTGAAAAAAAAACAACTCCACAGAGGACTTTTCAGCTAGTGATATCTAAGAAGCTTCAGCTGGAGGCTCCACATGTAACTTGGGTTTTGCACTTCGTTTTATTTCCCTGCTTCTATACTTGCATGTAAACTGGATAAATGCAAACATATGTTATATATTTAATTGAACATGAAACATTTGATTCCAAACATGTTCCAGCGGTTTTTGCACACTTGTGAACAGATGTCCAACATCTTGTCTGCATCATGTTTTTTTTTCTGTTTTTGTGCTCTTGACAGACACTTGGCAGAAAATTATGTACTCATTAGTCTTGGCATATTTAGCTGTGTTTTCCTACGTAATAGATATCAGTAGTGCCATTTTTAAACCCTAATTTCTTCATAAAATCAAACTGATATTGTTGTTTTATTTATTGTGGTCCTGTGTTTTAGGCTCCTCCTTAGGCTTGTCTGCCCTGCCACTCACTGCCATTTCAGTAAAAATCTAGAATGTGACATTTGTGCTTTTTCTCCTCCAACCAGCTGTGCACCTGTAGCGTGTTGTGTGTGTGCGTGTCCTGCTTAAATTGAGCTGTTGCTATCAGACTTAGAATTTGGGCTTGGTACCTACTTTCATGTATCAGTTTAGCATCAGGGAAGTGTCATTTAGTTCTCTACACAATTCCTTAAATTGGTATCGAGCAAAAAAACCCACCAGTGTTCAAGCAGCATGTTGAAGACATTTAAACTGCTGATGTGTTGATCATGGCTGATTTTCAGCTGCTGAATATGACTTTTCTAGCTGCAGCTTAAAAAGTGCTCATGTCTTTTATTGAATAAAACTCCAACCAATGTGCATAGCTGTGTTGAAAACAATATTTCAGGACATTTGGTAGATTTTCCAACTTGTCTTGACTGGCTGTGATACGCTTTGTTGGAGAAAACAAAGCCACACCCAGTGCGTTGTATCAGGGAGAAGATGAACTCATGAACCTAATCCTGCATTCTGTCTTTAAGCAGGTTAGGAAACGATGCGGTGTAGCACCAAAGCAGCGAGCACGCTTTTATTTCTTCTTTTTCTCTTTTTAGAGAGATTTGATTTCACTTTCATCCGGTATACCTGCATATAGAGAGGGGTCAAAGGTCAACATTCCTTGTAGAGGATCTGAGGACCCTGTATCTTCTGGACTATAAGTCGCATCAGTCCAAAAATGCATATTGAATATGAAAAAAAAAAAAAGTATATAATTCGTACTGGACTAAATGTATAATTTATTTAGAAACCTATTTTACAAAATCCAAGTCCAAGAACATGCATTTACAGAAAAAAGTCACTCAGCTACATAATAGCAGACAAAGCAACAGTCCATTAAATCAGTGGTACATTAATTCAGTGGAGCAGCACTTAGCGATTGGATGGCTTTCTCACATCTGGATGCTGCAATGTTTACTCCTTGGCACATGCAATTAACATTTAAAAGCTTTTTTTAAATGCACATAAGCACGACCAGCAAACTGTGGAAAAAAGTGGGACTTGTTAATAAGACACTTGATATTTCAGATTGTTACCTTACCTAAAATTAATCTACCAAAACGTTGATGTAGATTAGATGTCCCAGAGTTGGAAATCAAATAACCTTATTCAATATCCCAATCTAAAAATCTGCTATTATTCTGTGGATTTTAGTGTAATTTGAACATTAAATTAAAAACAAAAAAATAACCTACAAATAGATCTCTCCTTCTTGTGAACATCAACCATTTTGTTTTGTTTTTAAAAGGTTCTGTGTATCTTTGTTTGATTCCAGACAAAGCCCAAACTTCCACTGAATTAATTGTTAAAGTATTTGTGATTTTCCTTTGTGGTCTCTCCTAAAGAACTGCTGCTGAAGAAGCATGAGTAATTTTAGAAATAAAAGAGTTGTTACACCTATTCGAAAAGTCAGTGATCAGATAGCTTTGTGCTACGATTTAAACGGCACACTTTAAGCCACGCTCAGCATAAACGGAGCATTCAGGATCGACTTGTGTTCAGTCATCAGTCTTTTACATTTAGCTGAGAAAAACTCTTTCTCTTAAAACATTTGTTTTTCGCCCCTTGTAGTAACAAACTTTTTAAGTGTCTGCATGCTGGTGTCACTAGAATTCTGTATGCCTAATTAATGATGTCAGTTTTTGTTTGTTGCTGTTTGTCTGTAACCTCTGATAAACCTCCTCTCATTCCAGCCAGCCCTTCTCCCTGCTTTATCCTCCCTGTGTCACCCAGACATTTAACCATTGCAGTGTTTTCTTTAATATAGGGTTATATTCCAAAAAGCAAATGGGAGATGGACACATCTGAGGCCAAACTTGGTAGGTATCTCCTTTAGTTCCTCATTCTTTCAATGACACAAACAGCTGTTAACCTTTGTGGTAGGCTTTTTAGGCTTTTGCAAAGTGTCAGTCTGGCTGTTTTGGTTGGATTTATCATGTCTTGTAGTGAGAGCTGGGCAAAGTCATTTTACCAGTACACTTTGTTTCTGTCAGCGCTTTTGCTGGATCATTATCCTATTGTACCAGAAAATTGGGCAAATCGAAGTGTTTCCAATAAGAAATGGCCACATTTCTGGGCAGCAGGGAAACACCACAGAATGTGACAGATAAAGATGCACACTGTGTTTGCAGTCCACCGAAAGCCTCTGCTTCTGGTGCTGCCACGGGATTCAACCTTTTTTTTTTTATTTCAGTCTTCAGGTAGTGTGGCCTGTCTTTGATGGAGCTCACTATACAAACGGTTTAGAATAGTGATACATAGTATTACAGGTGCTGATATTATATTATATGATTCAATGTGGCAGGAAGCCCAGCCCTATTAATTACTGCCCTATTCACAGCAAATGATTTTTGAAAATAAACATGATAGAGAAAATGATCCCGTCAGTGATCTCACGTTTTTTCTCTGCTACCAAGTAAATGATCAAACAGGAGTCGCATACTTGTGAATGACTTTTTAAATGGAATTTAAATGCTGGCACAAAGCCTGCAAATATGAGTGAACGATCTGAGAAAACAAAAATGTGCTGAATATTCTGTTAGAGAGCTTTGTTAAAACGTTGCCGGGATGTTCAGGGAAAAGTCTTCATGGAGATCTTCCCTTCATATAGACAAGTTAGACGGTCTGGGAAGCAGCGGGAAGAGGAAACGTGACGGCGAGCGCATGTCAGGCCTGGAGGACTACCTTCAGCTGCCAGACGACTATGCCACTCGCATGTCTGAACCCGGGAAGAAAAGAGTAAGTCTGATGGCGCGGCCCGAAACTTTCCCCTCTCACCTGAAAGTGGCTTTGATTTGGGGAAAGAAAGGCTGGGAAGTACGGGAGGATTTTTTTTTAAGAGACTTTTTAAAATAGTGCCAAAGTAGTCCCTGTGTTTACATTCATTTTGTGCTCGTAGTGCAACTCCCTGATGGTTCTCCCTTCCGTTAAGGTTCGATGGGCTGATCTGGAAGAGCAAAAGGACGCAGACAGAAAGCGTGCTATCGGTTTTGTGGTGGGTCAAACGGACTGGGAAAGGATAACAGATGAGAGCGGCCAGCTGGCACAAAGAGCTCTTAACCGCACCAAGTATTTCTAAGAAGATAATCTTGTCCCTTATTTTGGTCCACGGATAGGTACGTATGTGGTTTTTACAGAACGTCTTTAAAAGCGGTGCAGATTTGACTTAAAAAGCTAAAGGGTTATGATGTAGACGGTACACATGTGCGCAGAGATTAGTATTTGGACAAAAGGTTTCTGTTCATACTGAGTGGAGTGGGGAGAGCAGATATTAGTTGGCATGCTCCCATTTTGGAAAACGGCAGCCAAAGCTGCCCTGTAAGCTGAGGAATGTCCTGAGGTGCCACTTCTGCCAAACGTTTTTTTTGCAGTGATAGGTTTGGCTACCGAGCAGCTCTGTTGCCTTGCTGGCTTTCTTTATTTAAAAGTTATTCGATCAAAGATCCTTTAGCGTCACAAGGACACGTTTGAGACTCATTTTTACCACAGACCCTCTGTTTAAGGACACCGACAGGCTCTCCAAATCAGAAATACTCAAATCCACCTTTTTAAAAATATTACAATTTTTTTTTTAAAGAAAATATTGTTCTTCTTTTAAATAGCATTAACAGATTGTCTAATGTTGCAAAGATTTAACTGGAGAAAAATCTGCAATTATTGAAAAAACAGATTGACTTGTTGATACAGCCAATGAATCTGTCCCAAACTGACATCTTTGTTCCCCCTCCACAGGGTTTCAGAATGTGAACATGCTGCAGCTTACAGCCGCAGAGGGGATCCTGCGAATAGCTGTCAATACAAGATGTGCTTTTTTTCCTCTTCTGGATATTTATCATTAAGTCTATAGTTTATAAGCTGTTACTAGTCATCATGCATTTGTTTATTTGTTGCTTCTGTTTTATACTCTTCTAACTTCATGTACTGTCTACACGTAGCGCTGTTTCTTGGTCAACACTTAGTTGAAAGAGACAATAAAGGTTTCGCAAATTTTTCATCTTACGAGAGTTGTCAGTTGAGTTTCAGGTTAAAGAAGCACAGCTTGATGACAAAGTGTTATATTTCTGATGGTGTATAGCTGACGGAGAATAAACTGATCTCTCTCTCTGTTTGTATGTATGGCTTAAACCTCCCGTGGTGCTCTCTAAGATGAAGGATGATGTCTGTGTGAACTTTACCATAAACTTTGGGGCTTTGGATTTCAAGATCCTTGACCATTTTAAAAGAAAAAAGGTTTAGATTTTATTAGAAGCTAAAACGACAGCATGTGTGCAGTAACATAGCTGCTATCATAGTGATTTAAACCTCACTGTTTTTACAGTTTTGCGGCCTCATCTCGTGGTTTGTATTCCAAAACTTTTTGAGAAATCAGTGCTCAATCTAAAAACTGAAAAGCACCAGCTCACGTTGATTTATTCACATTTGTGGCCTTTAGTGGTTCCTGAAAAGTACTTTCATAAAAAAGACTGCTTTTTGAAATCAAAATTGTGTTCATTGCTATCTAGCATTTACATTTATTAGCTCACGTTTATGTACTGTGATAGAAAAAATTGTTCTGTTCTTTACTTTTTTCCTATGAAATAACTATGAAATAATCCAGCATTGACAGGGAAAATGTCTTTGGCTAATCTCCAAATTTAAAAAGAATTTGGACTTTACGGAGGATCTCTGGCAGTTTATGGATTCTTTTTTTGTATAGAAACATGTTTTGACTCACTGCTCATGGTAAGATGTTGAGTCTTACCCGTTTGTTAAACTGGCAACGCGCCATGTCCTCCTGCATTTGGTTTTATAAAAGTCTGTCTGCACATCATAAGACTTTGAAAAGAAGCTCCCTTTAGTTGAGGGGTTAATCCTTATTTATTATTCTTCCTTTCAGTTCCTCTAAGGCTTTTTTTCTTTAAAATAATCCTTTGTTATTTCCCTCATGCCCATCCCTTCAGTTTAAGGCGTTAATGCTTTCTATAAAAACCAACCGGCTGCAACTTTCTAAGCAGTTAAAACAAGGTGATGGATAAACCTCAGTTTATTGTGGGAACCTCTCTGCTTTAGTCTGAATATCTGGCGAAGACTGCATGTTGCATCTGTTTGATTCTCTCTACGATCTGTCGTCTCAGTATTCTGCATTTTTCAACCCTTGGAAACAGTCGGGCTGATGAAAGGCTCCTGAACACTGACTTTTCTTAGAAACTGTTGCGATCAGAATTTCTTAAAGCCGTTCATGTATGATCTACAAATGGCATTGTTTCATTAAATACAGGATTTTTATAAGTATAGCTGCAAACTATGTTTATGGATTCATTCAGAAAAAACAGCCACTCAGTGTAACGCTCCCAAACACTGACTGATAATATCGATACATCAGAACACAGAGGTGCTGATCTGTTGCTGTGGCCATGCCTCTATGGTCTTCTAAGTTTTTTTTTTTTTTCTTGTTTTCGAATGATGTTGTGTAAATGCTTCTTTGACCCTAGATTTAAAAACTGTGTCATATTGAACCAGCCCCCAATTCTTCAGACTTCATGGCGATAATCACTCTCCTGCCTGCGGCTTTTGTTGCTCGAGCTTTCACTTTAACCTCAAAAGGAAATTTCATCTTAGTACTGATGTGCTGCACGTCACTATCTGTGAGCTGTCCCACGGTAGAAGGGCTCAGACACTTTTCTATTCAGATATCCAAGTTACATTAACTTCAAAGCGTGATCCAATAGTGTCTAGTTTTTGTTTTAATTGTGACTTGAAGCCAAAATCCCCCTAAGACAAGGCTTCAACCCGAGAAGTCTGATTATAAAAAAAAAATTATGAAAATCAAGGACATTTTTTCAGTTATCACACTAAAATGAATTTTAAATTCTACAAATGGAATCTGCACAAAATGGAATCTTGTGAAAATACTCAGCTGGTCGGAATGGCTTGAGAAATATCCAGAAATACTATCTGAAGCTCAGGTCTAATTGTGAAAACCCAGAGGAGAGTTAAGGTACGATGAAAATACAGCTTGCCTTATAGCCTGTTTCAATAGAAGAAATCTTAATTTAAACTGAATATATTGTGAGCTTTATGCTCTGTTGAAAATATGGCAGTTAGGAAAGCCCCCAGCCATTTGGCATGTGAATTATGTGTCCTGAGGCCTGCAGGGACTGACCATCAACCTCATCACTTTTCAGAAATGGTCACTAACTCCGTCGTCCTTAGTCTGTTTTAATATGGAGCAGAATCAGACATTTGCTTTTTCAACTTCAATTTTACATCTACGACCCACAAGGATCACCAGACCAAGTCGGCACACAGAATTTGATCTATTTTCTTCAGCACATCACTATTTTATCTGGACCGTCAACACTGTTTTTAGGACAAAGAGAACACCAAACACATGAGGTGGAGACACCGCCTTCACAAGCCTGCCGACTCCCAGAGAAGGAAAAGATCCTCATGGTAAGTATGGAAGAGAGAAACGGGGCTATATGAGCACAATTAATTTGTTGTATGGAATATTAAAAATATTTCCCACTTTGGCGTGAACGTTTCATATTCATTTAAATGCTCTTTGAATCTAAATGTTCTCTCAAAAGTTATTTCTGTGCCAAAACATTTTTCAGAAATGGAAACGTTACTGTTTAACATGTCTGAGCATGCTGAACAGTAACGGCCTGTTTATGTTCAACACCGACCGAGTCAAAAAAAAAAAACGAGCAAGCCCACATTTTGACGAACTGCTGTGGCACACGATGTGGTCCGATTATTATTTTTTTTCTTTCTCTCCTTTTTTATTTTATCCACAAGCTTGTCTGTTAAACTCAGCGGGTACGTCACTGTCCAGTTTGCAGATCACCTTGTAGATTGCTTTCTTCCAGGACGGATCTCGATCTCTGCCCATTGAAATGGCCACGTAGAACTCTCTGAGTGTGATCTCAGCCACCTCTAGGAACCTGTCAGGGACCTGTGAATCCACGAGAGAGGATTAGAGGTGCTTGGGTTTATAGATTCTGTCCATTCAGCCTGGGCTTTGGAAGTCGGGGTCATGGTTAGTCACTAAACTTTACGTTTTCAGACAGTTGGCTGTGCTCCTGCAAGTCAAGGTAAGTAACAAATCAGTGCTGTGAAACCAGCTCAGAGGATGAAATGTACAGTACAAAACTGACCCTATAGCCAGCTGTAACATGTTTTAATGGATGTTTCTGAAATGACTGACTGCAGTCGCTGGACAAATAGCAGAGAAGTGGATTTGTGCTCAGTGATCCCTGAGTGTCAAATAGGAAAACAGATTTCTCTCCTATTTTGTCTTTGTTTTTTTGTTTGTTTTTACCAAAAGGCTTGAAGCCAAACCTATCCTAATAGTCTTGCGTTGTCTCTTTTTCATTGCCAAAACCTTTTTTTCCTAAATGTTATACAAGTTTCTTTTTCTTTTTCCAAAACAGAAAGGGTGACTAAAACCTTTTTCCTTTTCCCCTGGCTGCCATTTGTGAACCACCTTGAAACAAATCAGTATGTTTTTCTGCACTGAAAAAGGCCTCCTCAGACTTCACCCCACCAGCTGCAGCCTTTTAGTGTCAGCTCTGATAAGATGGTTTGTGGCAGAGGGACCTGGCTGGGAAAATAACCCAAATGACATTACATTCTGCATCAATAAATCTTTTTGCTGCAGAATGTGACGTAATTTCTCTAAAGTAATTTTTTTCTGGGGGTGACCAATCCCGACAAGAAATTGCAATCCTTTTTTGGAAAAAAATGTAAACAAAATGCAAGTGCTTGGTCAAAAAGCAGATGAATCCGATGCAATACGATAATAAAAAATGCGTGGAGTTCTGCAGGTTTCCCATATCTCTAATGCAAGAAGTGTGATAGGGCCGCTGTTTATCATGTACCTATGTGGGCATCTGTCTAACTTAAACCCAATATTGTAGCGTCCCTGCTCTAAATAAATAGAATATGCAGAGCATTCAACACGGTTAGGACATTTTAGACAAAGAGGACATTTGAAGATGCTGCTGAGGCCTCGCGTCTTATCCTCTTGCTGCTGTTTATCAATCCCATCCTGCTTTTAGCTCCTGTTTCTTCAAGCAAAATTGAAGTTTCATTGTTTCTTTTTTAAATGTCTGCAGTACAGCAGCCACAATAGGCAGATTCTTTTAATGCTTTGTCTCTAAATTAATCTATCTTTTACTTAGTGTCTTCACACAATTTCTAAATTCAATATGTGCATTAGTTTGGATGAGCTACTTATCACCAATCAAATTAAGGTATTTTAATATTTTGTTTAGTACATCACGGTGGTAATAATTTTTTTAGGTGAGACGTGTTTCTTTGTTAAAAAAAACAACCTGCGTTGAGGCCGTATTCCTCCCCAGTGTTTCACTGTCCTTTCCAGGGCTGAATATGATGTGGCTCATTTAACTTCATTATGAATGTACCTGATTATAAAACATAAAGGACTTTTGGCCTGTTCACATTAACTGGTGACCCTGCACCGCACAGCTTTCAGAGACATAACATCAGCTTTTTTATGTTTTTTTATTAGCTGCCATGAGAATTTCAAATAATGCAGCTGACTGCACCATGCCACTGAACAACATCGATTATTCTTTAAAGTATTTCAGTATAAAGTTATTGAATTTTGCCCCTAATCATCTTCCTCCCGAATGAGAATATTTCAAGCTGTTGATTTTTTTTTCTCTACTGTACTGTCAGATAATTGTTCTAATTTATTGGAAAAACATGACAGTTTTTAGTTACTGTGACTCATTTACACTCAAATCTCTTCATTTTGTATATTTTTTACATAAATTAAATCCAAACCTGAAAGATATTTTTAACACATTGTAACTTTCTTTGAAAAAAAACATCAGATTTGTACCTATTACTATCAGATCATGTGTAAAATGGGTCTAATCTGTTGGGGCTGTATCATTATCTTAAAACATTTATCTTTTGCTCTGCACTGTTTTGTAAGTACTCTTTTCTAATGTGTTTGTGTGTCAAGTGATTGTTTTTTTTTGTTGTATCAGTAAGACTGTGAGTCCTATAAACTTGAGATTCAAACTCATTGCCCTTAAGAGAGGTTTAAATAATTATTTTGAAAATATTAAATCCAACTCAAATACAGTACACATAATGGGATTTAGACAATACCCCAACATTTTTCAAAACAAGAGCAAAAATTGTGTGTTATTATACCACATTTCTGTTACAACTTCTGTTGTTGTTTTTTAAATATACATATATCTGTGGAAAAAATTAAATAAATTAGACTAAAGACACATAAGGCAATACCTTCATTTTGGTTCTAAGGCACCAAAAGCAGAAAAAAATAACCTGGTTCTCACCTGGAAGTCGTTGGCTTTGTTGTAATGCAGGTTGAGAGCCCTGAACAGCTCTGACTCTCTGCCCACAGACAGGTCCGGCCGGTCAGCGCTGACCCCCAGGACAGGGCTGCCCCCCAGGACCGCGCTGCGGGCGAACTTCTCCATCTGGATGTAGTAAAACTCTCTGAAGTTGCTGAACCACTTGATGAGCTGGGAGGTGATGCAGCGCGTGAACTGAGGACGACACACACACGGCAGGTAAGTGAGTTGGGGGGGGGGGGGGACATTTGTTTAGATCCGAAGCAAATAAAGTGAATTCACCCTCCCCACGTTCTCCTGTTGTTTTTACGCAGACAGGACAGGACAGGAAAAAAATCTGATTTTCTTGGTCAGCTTTGTACTTTGGGTCTCATGATCTATATAAAAATGAACACCGTTGACGCAAATGAGTGGAACCTGAATGCTTTTATTGCTCACCTGCACGTCTTGGAAGCACATCCTCAGCACCAGGGAGCTCGGGTAGCGCGTGTAGAAGAACATGAGCTTTGCTTTCTTCAGGTGATTTGTGCTCAGACCCTCCTACGGGAGCTTACGGTTAGGGATAAAAGCACCAACGGGACAGCTGCATTTCTTAAGGCTGCGTTTATCCCCAAGAAATCATTACAGGGTGCAGTTACAAACAGTCAGTCCTGCTCACTGATTATAACACCGTTATTACTAACTCGGATGAGCGAATTCTGGCTTCCCAAAACTTTTAAAATCAAACACGGGACGTCCCGAGAGAAGACACAAAAGATCAAATATACTCTACTTCTCCGAAGGATACATTCAGCATGTACAGGCTGTTTTTGGTCATCAGGCCGTCGGGCTCGCTCTTCACCTGAGGGGGGCACAGGCCCCCCGGCAGCCCCCCCGGCACGGTGCGGCTCTGCGGGCTCCTCACGGGCCTGGACGTCACCTTGGATTTGACTTGGAGAGAATTCCAGCGTGCGCCAGAGCTGCTCTGCCCCGCCTGGCCGCGTCCCTCCTGCGGACATCCCCCCGCAGGCTGCTGGTCAGGGCCGCCGGGTTTCCTCTCCTGAGCCCGATCCTCGTGGCCGAAGAGGAGGGGGGGCGTCCACCTGGACTGGGGGACAGTCTCGTTGGACCTGTCCGGTCGAGGCTTTTGGACAACCAGCGACAGAGCCTCTGTCTGGACATCGGGAACGCGCAGCCTCTCCGTCCCACAGCCGGACGAGTCAGGCGCGTTGTCCACGCCAGCCGCTGACCGGAGGGGTCCACAGGTCACTGGACCCTCGGGGTCATCCGGTGGCGTCTGGAGGAGCGGCATGCTTCTGAAAATGGAGTCGACGCTCCTGCTCACAGCTCTGGACAGCTCGTATTTTAGAATATCTGCCATCATCTTTATCCGCTCCGGTTCGCGTCGAAAGTGGTTGTCCGGCGTCACCATCCTCCATCCCGGTGAAGCTTCGGGAGAATCGCTGCAGCTGGAGTATTTTCCTCCCTCCCAGCTTCCAGCTGTTCCGTCCACGGGGCAGAACCCGGCCCAGAGGTGCTGGTGATGCCTCTGCAGCAGCGGTCCTGTCATCTGGCTTTGGTTCGCTATCTGGGGTCCACTTCTCTCCACGTGTTTCTCACGTAGAGCCACTTCTTCCTCGGCATCGTCCTCCAGCCCGTGCTCGGTGTCAACGTGCTCGTTTGCCGCCACATCTGGGCAGGTCATACCTTTGATGATGTTCTCCACCCTGGCGCGCTTTGCCCGGTCGTGGTGCGCGCAGTGGGCAGCTGCCCGAGACGCGTGTCTCCTCCAGGACAGATACCCAAGGCTGGAGCACTGCAGAGTCGAGCCGTTGCTGTGAAACGGCCTGTCCGGCAGAGTTTGCATGTCTGAATCTGAAGACGCCGGTGGAAGATGGACAGAGGCGAGATGCTCTGGTGTGCAGCCATCGAGGCAGATGCTGCTGGGTGAGCACAGGCCTTTGCTCCAGAGGCTTTGGGTCATGCTTGTTAGGTTAAAAGAAAGACAGTAATAGGGTGTGCTGTGTAATGCACAAATAAATCTGTGCATTATCAGATATAGAAATATATAAAACACCTACCTGACACGTGTAGAAAGGGAGCAGAGGAGGATGGAGAGCATCCAGAGGACCATTCACTTATAGTGGACTCCCACTCAGCTTTGAAAGCAGGAGGTGTGGTCTCGTTTGACCTATCCCAGTCTGTCATATTATTTCATATTGTATTGACTGGATTTATCAAACCCCCGGCCTGACACTGTGTTTTCAAACGTGAAAATGTGTAGTTTACAACTTTTGACACAATTTTGTCCACGGACCTGTTGCTGGTTTCCTCCAGTGCAGGCACAGAATGGTACGGTCCATGCCTTTTAAAGTCCATTGTTTTATTTTGTTCTCAAGGAGGGTAAATGAAACCATTCAAGTTTTATCGAAAGAATAAGCAGATTCGAAGTGGTATTGTGTTTAGGTATGCTTGTTGTCGGCTGCCTGCTCACGCCGGCTGGGACTGTGCACCCCTCCCGGCCAGCCGCAGTGGTTCCTCACCGTGGCGCCGCCTTCCCGCCGGCGAGCCGCCAGCTTCCGTACGTCTACCTCAGCCCCAGCCCGGGACACAAACACACAGAGGCGGTAGCCTGCCAGCGAGATGTGGTCACGCTCTCCGTACGTTTACCGGACGCTCGGCCGTTCTCTGTCAGCGGCGAGCCAGGTAGGTCGAGTGGAAGCGGTGCCCCCGCTCTCCCGCGTAGCCGCCTCTGGAAAAAAAAATGACAGCTAGCTAACGGCTAAGCAGCTGTTAGCAGCCGAGAAAGCGGCCTCGTTCGCCAACCACCGATACCGACAACACCAGGGGAACTGGCTCAGGAGAATTTCCTCTACTTTGTCAAAGAGTTTTATTACAAGATAAGGATAGAACATTAGCCAAACAGTCACAACCTTCAGTCAAGTCGTAATAACATGACCTGCTCCTCTCAGTTACCGGACACCGATACACTGACATGCCGGTGTGATTATGACAGAAATAACCCCCTTCACATGTGTAAAAGTCCGAACATAACTCCCCGTGTCTTTCTTTAGTGATTTGAGAAGGAAACGAAGATGAAACGGTGTAGTTTATTTCGGATATGAGGACACCGCACTCCCTAAATACTGAGGCATGTTTTGGCTCTCAGTTCAGCTTAAATAACGCTGTGTTCAAAGTGTGAAATCCCTTAGAAATCATTCTTGGTGGTCAAAGACACTGTTTGTTCTCGTCATTGCTACTCTGCATGTCGGAATGTCGTTTGGGGAATTCTAGCTATCTGGTCCAGGACTCTCAGGTTGGCTGACTCCACCAGACGGTTGGTGGTGTAAACACAGATGATCAGATTTTGATGAACGAGGGCCTCTCCTTTCGTGGCTCAGCCCTTTAAATACACACACATGTATGACTCATTACTTCCAGCAACATCAAGCTCAACCGCAGCCTGTTTTTGTCAGAACTGGAAACAATCCAGCGGTTTATCCCACTTGCATTTTTATAATATGGGAACAAGTAATAGATTGTTCATCTGGTTTTTGTTTACACTAAACTTTTTTTATAAAAAATCTTCTGTTAAGACAAATTTGTATCAGTGTATTCAGTTATGGTAGCATGCACATGAGACTTTTAACTCTAAAAGCGCAGAGAAAAGACAAAGCTGTTAAAACAAAGTACCAAAATGTAGAGATGGATGTATTTAGAAGACCTGTTGATCTCACACTGACCCAGACCTGTAAACTAAGATCGGGATAACAAGTAAAAGAGTTCATATGAAGAAATGAACTAATTGTAATTTACTTTTTTAAAATCTTTTTTTTCCCTTTTTTTCTAGACCTGTAACGGACTTATCCAAAATAGATTTTTAGGTAAGTGTAAGTTTGGGTGGCTGACATGACCGAGCACGCACTGAAAACACTTAGTTTTTCTTCCTCTGACTTTCTTTACTGTTTTTTTTTTCACTTTAAGGTCGCTCTCTGAGCAGCCAAGTGGTTCAACAGAAACCTCAGCCGTAAGTGTCCTCTTCCGTCTTTAAAAGCCTGTCAGTCAGCTGCTCAGTATTTACTTTACATTTTCTGTGAAAACTACCAGTCAAAATGATGCGACATTCAAGGTTTCTCTCTTCTTCTCCTCAATGTTTAGTGGTGAATTCCTGTCATCGCTGAATGTGTTCCACATCAGATACTTCAAGACGTCTGCTGTCCACAGTACGCCCCACAGCCTCGTGTAGTCAGCTGGACTCTACTTTAGATGTCATCTATAGTAACCATGATCGTGTCTTTTTCCCACTAGGGGAGGAGGTGGTCACCGTCAACACACCTGCATTCGCAGAATCCGTTACAGAAGGGGATGTGAGGTGGGAAAAAGGTCGGTGTTTCAGTGTAACCGTGACACTGCTCATGAATGAAGTGATATAATTTGCTACATCCAATGAAATGCTCGTTTTTTTTTACTTCAAAGCGGTGGGTGATTCGGTCACAGAAGATGAGGTGGTGTGCGAAATTGAGACAGACAAGGTATGAGGAAAAAAAATGGCCATAAATAAAGGTTTCCCCCCAAACAAAAATCCCGCCAAACAAAATCCCTGTTCTGTGTTTGCAGACATCGGTACAAGTCCCCTCTCCGGCCGCCGGCATCATCGAGGAGCTGCTGGTGCCTGACGGTGGGAGGGTGGAAGGAGGAACGCCTCTTTTCAAGCTGCGGAAAGGAGGTCTGCCAAATCGAATACGAGTTGTGAAACCTTGTTGAAGCGTGCAACGCTGACCAGGCTTTTCTGATGCATCAGCGTTGCTTCCCTTCTGTATTTACCATGTTTAAGTGTGTTACTATCACCAAAAGCAGTTTGTGCCTCACACACCTGACAACATCCATCTTTAGCCATCTGAAAAGATCAATTATTTCACAACTGGCAGAAACTCATGACCCAAAATCTGTATTTTCCAAATCATAAGACCCAAACTACAGTTTTCCCAATCCGCCTTTGACCTTGCAGCTGCTGCAGCTGTGGAAGCTTCCCCGTCAGCAGCTGCAGAGGTCCCTGCAGCGGCAGCTGTGGCCGCCCCCCCACCACCACCTCCCCCCCAGCCGCCCACCCCCGCTGACACGACTCCTGCGCTGTCACAGGCTGGACAAGCCGCGCCTGGTGGGTAAAACCTCTATTCGTTCAGTCACTTGTTTAATCTACACGCATACTAGTCTCTTTTGGTCATTAGTTATTGTTTTAACTTATGAGGGCTTGTAAAGTCATTTCTGACATGTTTATAAAGGTGTCACTTCCTGTTCCTCCCTCTTTCTTCGTGTAGTTGCCCCTGTCAGGCTGGCTCCTGCTGCTCCACAACCAGCTGCTGCTGCCACAGTTGGAGTCAGGGGAGAAAACAGGGTAACACACAACAACTCTGTGGTCCTACTGTCTCTTCCACTGACAGGAAGTAGTTAGGCCTGATGTTGTGAGCCCTGCCTGAAGTCTCTTCATATGTAGGTGAAGATGAACCGAATGAGGCTGAGGATTGCTCAGAGGCTGAAAGAGGCTCAGAACACCTGCGCCATGCTGACCACCTTCAACGAGGTGGACATGAGGTGGAGACAAGCCCAACCGTCCCCTTTGCTTTGCTCTGAACTCGTATTACGATTGTTTTAGCGGTCTAACCTGATGAATATTTCATGAGTCCCTCTCTGATGGTTTGCCTCAGCAACATTCAGGGGATGAGGACAGCCTATAAGGAAGCTTTTCTGAAGAAGCACAACATCAAACTGGGTTTTATGTCAGCTTTTGTGAAGGCTGCTGCGCAGGCCCTGACCGATCAACCTGCTGTCAATGCCGGTAAGAGAACGGTTTGGCTTAAAAGCAAACTGCCCTAACCCCTAAAAAAAAAAGTGCTGTTTAAAGGTGTTCACAGTTCCACCAGAGCAGGGACCAACACAGCTTTCCTTTCTAAATGGTCTTTAGTAATCCGTGTGTTTTTTTATTTATTTTACTGCAGTTATCGATGACACAACCAAAGAGATCATCTACAGAGACTATGTAGACATCAGTGTTGCAGTGGCAACTCCAAAGGTATGACACCCATACTGTGTTATTACCTTCACTAAACCAAGTGTCACACGCTGTCCTTTTTCTTTGTAGGGGCTCGTCGTACCAGTGATTCGTAATGTGGAGACCATGAACTTCGCTGACATTGAGAAAGCTATCAATGCTCTGGGAGAAAAGGTGTGAATCTTTGACATGATAGGAGATCTGCCCCACAAGTTTATGCGGGTGACTAACCTCTGGAAACCATTTGGCTTCTGGTCCTCAGGCTCGTAAGAATGAGCTTGCTGTTGAGGATATGGATGGAGGGACGTTCACCATCAGCAACGGCGGCGTGTTCGGCTCCATGTTCGGCACGCCGATAATCAACCCACCACAATCGGCCATACTGGGCATGCATGGCATTTTTGACAGACCAGTGGCCATTAATGGCAAGGTGAGGTTAATTGGTCTGTTGATACAATGGGTGCTTGGGTGGGACATCTTGTTGAGTGCTAGACTGGATCTGCTGAGTTTTTACAACGAAAATCTAAACAAGAGCTGACTGCTTTGGCAGGTTGAGGTGCGGCCCATGATGTACGTGGCTCTGACCTACGACCACCGGCTCGTTGACGGCCGGGAAGCCGTCACTTTCTTACGCAAGATCAAAGCAGTGGTGGAAGACCCGCGGGTGCTGCTTCTGGACATGTGACGTTCCTACCAAAGCCTTACTGGTCTTCAAAGATATTCAGCTGCACAAAAATGAACTCCATGAGACAGAAAACGCACAAGTCCCACAAAATAGCCTTTAAATATTATCCAGTCAAACTGAAGGCGAACATTGTCCCAACACTCTGGCACTTAAACGCTTGCGGTTACCTGCAGACGGTAACCTGAACCATCTGTCATGTGGGCTTCTAAGCTTCTAAGCCTTTGTTTATGTATATGCAGTATGCCATGCACAGCAGACATTAGTAAAAGCAGCACTCGCAAGCTTGAACTGTGACATATACTTCTTACAGGGTGTTATTCCCCCGTGTGGTCCTCAGATGAGACAAACACACAGCTGTATGTTTATGACACAAAAGGCTTCTGCATTCTCCATTCTAGGTGAGCCAGCTTTATCATCCTCTCTGCTCAGTCATCTGTTCTGAACAGTGTCTTACCCAAGTGTGACTGTTTTTAGAGTTCAGTCAAACAGATGCATCTGTCCCTCGTTTTTAGGAGCTGTACAAAACACACACTCCTTCTCTTTTCTTTTTTTTACACTACGGACCATTTGTTGTATTACAGTAGAAATGCCCAAAACTGCACAGCAGCTTCTCATGTCCGAGAAGAGCTTTTCTGTCCTGTCACACATCAGGTGAAATCCTTTCAAATATTAAACTTTTCAAGAGTTTTATGTACTGAAATTTATTTCCCAAATTTCCAGCAGCTTGTGGTATGTTTGGTTAGCTCAGAGCAGTTTTCCAGGACGAAGGGCATGTGTGAACTTAAATTCATCACCGGAATTAATCCTAGGCTTTTTAATTACAGCCCGACCAGATAAACATTCATATTCAGAGAATCTCAGCCTTCTATGAAAAGGACTCGGAAGTATAATGACGGCAAAATGGACGCATAAATCTGAGGCAACTGTATCCATGATCGATATTTGCTGAAAACATTTTATCTCGTGCCAAATCTGTTTTGCTCGTGAATGCTCTGCCACAGATGAGTTTTGTGCCAGCGCTGGATCTTCAAAGCCTCATGGGCCTGCCTACCGCCCAGCTCTTGAGAAGCTTCAAATAATGGGATCATCTCTGACAAAGTCTTAAGGGTTGCTTGGCCCTTTCTACCACTTCACAAACACAGGCTCAAGTGTGTGCAGCTGTGTATGACGCCTCTTCAGTAATTCTGTTTACTTTAATAATCACAGGGGACAATGGCTCCTAATGTACGTCTTTGTTTCTCTGCCAGGACCTACACAAATGTCTGAACAACACTGTTTGGAGGAAAAACACAGAATTCATTATGAGAACACACAAAAACCCAAACATTAAATTACCATGAGAATACTGGAGGTTCTAATGGGCCCGAATACAGCAAACAATGATACAAGGGGTCCTTTAATTTAATTATTTACTTTTATGACCGCTCAAGATTCCATTAGCGCTTTCGAGATCATGTTAATTGGCAGCGTATGCCAGTGGGTGCATAGATATCTGAAGGGTTTGTTGGCAGGTTTTTGTTCCGTCTTCAAAATTTGGCCAAATCTGTGAATTTCCAATTGGACTATTCAATAAGATGTGGGTTTCAAGTCTTTGTGTCCATTCAGATGAAAGATGGCCCATTAGAAATTGGCAGCTAGCTGTTTGTTTTCATTAAGCCACATCAGAGGGATAATTTACCTAAATTATGCTGTTATGCTTCTCTTTTGGATAGACTAATTATAGCACCACCGTTATATAAAGAATTGGATTTCAGTTCATCTCTGATGGTGCATCTAAGACGAGGTTAAGCATAAACAGCTAAGTCCACGCTGTATTCAGGATTAGAAGTGTTTAACCAACAACCCTGTACCAAGACCCCCCCCCCCCCAGGGTGCCTCGTTTTGGGGTTTTTACAAAGAGACAGAAGACACTGAGCTAATTAGAGCTTTAACCCACCATAAGACCGTAGAGGTGAAGTCCTTACAAAGTTCCAGTTAAACTGCCCAGACAGAGGGAGAACTGCTGTAATAGCAAAAACTACTTACTCAGTTATTTGTAGAATATTCCCAAAAGTGTCCTTTGCATTTGGGGTGTATCTTTTGGGTTACCAGTTCAGGGTGTACCTCGCCTCTCGCCCGTCGTCAGCTGGGATAGGCTCCAGCCCCCAGCTCCAGAAAAAGCGGTATAGAAAATGGATGGATGGATATTTTGAGTCACCAATTAAAATTCAGTCTCTTCATAATGACAATCCTGTGAACTTGATTATATTCAAATGAATTCACCGTTCGATAACTTTCAGGTACAGCATTAGTACAGTACCTGCTGGCTGAGGATAAACTTTTCAAAACATGATGAACATAACTAATTTTTCCAGTTTCCTTTTGGAAATAAGTTAGATTTTCTAAAAGTTTCTTCAGTTAGAAATTTTGTTACATTTTGGAATGCCTCAACTAAATAACTATATTGTTATGGGATATGCCTGTCTTTAGGTTATTCAAGAAAATGCCAAATCCTTATTCAGAGTGAGGTCCTGTACAGGTTATCATAGGCATATTGCTGTGTGTGTAAGCATACCTGTTTGGCGGCACCTGCGCTGTCAGTGCTGATAATTCAACCATATCCAAATCAACGCATATACTTAGCTGGTTTGTTCGTTTGTAAGCCTCGCCCGGCTTCAGGTGACCCACAATGGAGCCATTCGCACGTGACACAAAGAACGGACGCAGGTGAGACAGCGCTTCATGTTATTGTCCCGTCTGTGGTTACCACTCCAGCCACCTGACTAAAACAATCGCGCTGCTGGATATCACACCTTGAGACAATTCATCTGAACGCCTTTAATACACCAGCTCTGCAGGGCCTGCATAAGTAATGCCCAACATCCATATTCATGAGCGTGCCATTTCCTTTACAGACCGTTTCATTCAAAGCTAACCAGAGTGGCAAAACAACTAGCTTGCATCTGGCCCTATTCTCCCTCTCCTTTGATATGGACGCCAGCTCTCTTTTTCTTCCCTCTCTTGTTCTGTTGTCATACCTGAAGATTATTTTGGATGGGGAGGATGTGCCTGAGGTCTGTGGTGCAGGACAGATGACCGCACTGAGCACACTGGACAGAAGGGATGGCACAGAGAGCTGCTATTTTCAGCTTCCAGTTAACGGAGTACATAACTTTAACATTTCAGAAAAATGTGAAAGGATGCTCTTTTGAGTACCGTAGCAAAAATGTTCCGGTGGATCTGACATAGCTGCAAAACTGACACAATCCATGCAGAGTGGAGTTTCTGTGGACCTTATTTTATTGACGTTTTGAACTAATGTCACATACCATGGCGTTTGCAGCATCTTGGACAGCTCAGAAAAACTTACTGCAAAAGAGAGAGAGATAGAGTTTAAAGTGGATTCCCATAATAAGTCTTTTGTAATGAGTCTTTACTTCCTATTCTGAGGCTTTTAGCAATTAAAATGCTCTTTAAACAACGGGACATGACTGAGGGAGAAGCCTCTCTAAACAGACGTTCAGTTAACGTTTAAGCAACAATTTGGTTTCACATTTTGAAAAGCTTCCAGTAAAAATGAACACAAAAAGCATAGTGGGGTCTGATCTGTTCACAGATATTACGATGAAGTTTGCAGACTAACCTATAGTTTATGGTGGCTGTGCAATCTTTGTCTAACTTCTTGATCAGCCACTCAAGCTGTCGTTGAGTGAGAGGCACGTTAGCATCCTGCACATGGGAGCGAACACACAGGCACAATGAGCTGATTCTGACTGATCAAGTCCTTTTTTCATTGCAGTGGGAGAAGTTATTCACCTTTGCAGCCTTCCTAAACGCAGAGGTGGAGACTTGCATGGTTTGCTCTTTATCCAGAGCCTGGAAAAAATCCACCTCACTCTTCTTTTTCTCCTCGATGAATTTCTATAAAAGAATCTGCACAGTCTTTATTTTTTCAAAAAGCTAAATGTTGCATAACACAAAATGATTGTAAAATCCACATTCTAAATGAATCTCTCCTGTTGTCAGCCCCTTTCCCCTCACCTTAAAAATGTGGAGGGCAGACAGGTTCCTGGTGAGGGAGCTCATTACGCTGTAATGGACGTGCAGAGCCGGATGCTTTTGCTGGGCTTCCTGCAGCAGCTCTAGGAAGGTCTCGCACACAAACACACTCTGTGTACACACATGCATACAAACAAATAATGTAATAATCACACAGCATCCGGATGAGGGTCATATTTACACTGAAGAAAACTTACAGAAATGTCAATCTCCTCCACAGCCGAGTTTGTTGTGTTTTTGATTGTTTTCAGCAGCGTCAGAGCTCCAGCGCTCGTCATCGGGTTTTGAGACAACTGAAAATGTTGCACACGCGCCACAAAAAGGGCTCAAATGGTCATGGCAGTAAAATACCCGGTCAAGAGTCCATCTTTGTTTCCTCACCTTCAGAACCTTGAGGGTGCTGTTGCCGGACAGGCCCTGGCAGATGGAGGTCACGGCCTGGTCGTCCATCCTGTTGCTCCGGAGGTCCAGCAGCACCAGCGTGCTGTTTTGTTTCAGAGCTTGGCTCAGCGCCTCCGCCTCAAAGTGGCCGAAACCGTTGTGCACCAGCTGGAGCTCCTTCAGAGTGGAGTTTACCTGAGGGACGGCACAAACAGGTGAGGGGAAACGGCGCTCACCGACGCCGCGCGCGCCAACGCGTTGCCTCGGTTACCTTCAGGCCGCCACACAGAGCCACAGCACCGCGCATACGAAGATGATTCCAGCTCAGATTTAGGACTTCTATACCCATATTACTGCCTTCAAGAAAGAAGACACACTCAAGAAGCAGATGCTTTAGTTCAACAAGTTTTGTAACTTTCATGAAGACTATATAAACATATATATGTATACACAAACTGCAGTTCTGTGTACATCTCCATCAGATGTGTGCATTGATGTGTGTGATCTGGCACCGGCTGGTTACCGAGCCCCAGTACCTAACATGTGACCAAGGTGTTCTCCTCCCGCTTCACAGAATCTGTTGTGACTCAGATCCAGCTCTTTGACCATATAATCACCCTGTCAGATCAGGGACAAAGGTTCTGTCAGGAGACATCTTTACTTACTTGCTGGAATCCTCCCCTTGTTTGCAGATTCTAAATTCAGCACTTTTGACTCACCTGTAAAGATTCCACCAAGCACTTAGCAGCAGAGTCATCAAAGTCGTTCCCTAAGAGCACAAGGGGGAAATGGAGATGGAGATGGAGATGAGAGAAATGGTTTAATCTCTGACATCCTTCACATTAAAACCCTTTAAATGAAAAATGTAACTGCACACCTGAAAGATTGATGGATTTGACATTATAGTTGTCTAATAGCATTTTGGAGATGATGCTCACTCCTTTAAGTCCAAGATGGTTGTTGGCAAGATTCTGAGATGAAATAGTTTACAGTCAGCAGGATCAAAAGTATTATCTCAATAAAATGCCATCTGTCTCACATGGCAGGAAGCCAAGTGTCGAGCATAACAGCTTAGGATAGGAATACTTACAAGACTCTGAATAGCAATGTTTTCTTGAAGCATGTTCTTCAGGTAGTGTGCTCCTTCAGCCTGAATGTTGTTGTCCTCCAGCTTAAGGTGGGTAACAACATTGTCACTCTAGAACATGAAATAGATTAATAAATATATAAATATCTACTCGTCAAATTAATTAACTAACTTCTCACTAAATTATTGTTTTTTTTCACAGACTTCATACGACCAAAACTGATCTCCCCCCAGAATTGACTAATAACTTGTGAACTGATATCGCACAACACAAGAAATACAGATGTATACAGATGTGCTGACCACATTTATGGGGATTAAAATATTTCAATGAAAGGATTACTTGCAGAGCTATGGACAGAGATTTGACATCCAGCGGTCCCATATCATAGTGGTTCAAGTTTAGAACGGCCACGTTCACATGGCGGATGAAAGAGGAAATGGGGACGGCCCCTGTCTGTCGACAGGCCTGCAGGTATTGCTCTGTGCGGAAGGGACTCTGTGTGTGAGTGGTCTCGTCTGAAGACAAAATAAGACAGAGGAGTACAACATGAAGGAGGAAGCCCGGGAGGCGCCGATAACCAGTTCAGATACAGTCGCAGTCTTCCAAAGAGTCATGGGCCCTTGATTTAATTGATTGGTACCTGTAGCATTACTCTCAGAATAAGAAAATAACAACTAGATTCATGTGAAAATGGCCAATTCAGACAATTTCTGGATTCAGATTCAGATTGGGGCTAACATGAAAATATAACCATTTCAAAGGGGAACCCCATTTCCAGCAAGATTAGAACAAGTCTATTTATGTGTCCCTTCTAAAAAAAAAAAACAACATAAAAGCAGTCCAAACCACCAACAGAAGCTCTGAACAGATATAAAAAGACACGATTAAACCGAAATTAAATAAAGAAAGCAGCCCACAAAAAGAATGAGCAGAGATAAGAAAAGAACCAACAAACAAATAGATGCAAAGTTCATTCAAAATACATAAAAGTAACAGCAGACGTCACAAACTACAGCAGCCGGCTCAGTTTTTTTGTTTGGTTTTCACAACATACCTTCCTTCTCCAGGTCTGTGTCAAACTCCGCTGACTCCATCTCACTCCACTGGGCCTGTTCCTGCTCCTGGCTGCCGGGGGCCGGGGCTGGAGGCTCAGGAGCTGGCTGCTCTCTCTCGCGGTCCTCTTCACCGGACTCACAAGAATCCTCAGATTCCACCGTCTCTCCATTATACCCTGACATACGTCTGCCTAACGGAAACAGGTACAGACGGTTCTTTCAAACACCGTAAAGCCGTTACAGAAAACTACAAGACCGTCGCTCAGTTTCGAATTAGTTTAATTCTAGCCAGGCCGTTGGACCAACGTCTGACGGCACGAGCCACAAGAGACAGAACTGTCACTTTTCAAAAACAGCTATCGTAAAAGGAGTCCGTTTATTGTTCTGAGTAAAAGAAACCGTAACCTACCCGGGAAAGCTTTGTCACTGACGTCAAGCTAACGGTTAAGGTGGACTTCGAATTACCACACGAAAACAACGTTTCGTAAATTACGATTATTTTACCTCCACTAATTTAATCAATGATTTTTTTGATATGTTAGTTCCCCATAACAGCCACTAGATGGAGCTGTTGACCACCATTTCCCAACTATTAAAAAACACAAAGAAATATTCTTAAACGGGATCTTCATTTGGTTTGGTTTATATCATCTAAACCTGCTCTGTGCTCTCTGTTTCCATACTTGTTGACCAAGATAACTTTGGCAACAAGTATGGAAACGTACAAAAACGTCACAAAATGTTATGATTAAAAACTTGCATAAGAGGAAAAAGGTACAAAAAAGCCATATTGCTATTTCTGTGGCCCCGGACAGGAGCATCTTTAACACTGTTTCTTTTAACAACATTCTAAGGAGACTCAAGTTGCTTGTTTGACACTTTCTGCAGCTTTAAAGTTCAGGGCCACCTTTATTTTAACCATGTCTTTTGTTCAATTTGTGAGAGGTTTTTCAGCTGAGGAATGCGGTTTATTTAGTGGAGGAACACCTGAGAGTTTGGCCTCTTTGTGCGGCACAGCAGGGCCTCGCATGCACAAACATGCACGTTCAGCCGGACCGGGCCCCATAACCCGGAATGCATCCGCAGGAGTCACAGATGCCCGCGGGGGGAAGGCTGTGGGTAGGGTTTGGTTTTATCTTTATTTAGCAAACCACTTGCTGCTCCAAACATAATAATTTGACCTTTATAATAGCTTCAGACCAAGAATACAGCTTGGCTTCTGGGCTATATTTTTCTTTTGTGTGGGAGAGTTTTTGCTTATATTTATGGATTTAGCTACAAACTGTTCACTGACAAAGGTGTCCCTGAGGCGTCACATTGATTTCCACTGCAGAACTTTCCTTTTTATTTTTATTTTGTTCATACATTCTTGACTGACAGCCTGAATGTCGGTGTTGGCTCTCAGCCATGGTTAACCTGTTCATAATCTATGTACTGCAGAGAAAGAAACAGGTATACTCTGAGTTCTTGAGTCCATCTGTTGTATTTGTCAGATTTCCCCCAACTTTATGTAAAGAAATAGGATTTTATGTCCGGTCTGGAGCCTCATCTGTCCAGTTAACTGTCCGGGACTGGCTGCTGGTCCTCTTATTGCCACACCAACACTTTACTGTCAGTCTTTGGGTTTACAGCTCGCCACTGTGTTGCTTTCCCTGTTTGCACGATTGTCTCTGAGGGTGTGGGAGGAAATATCTTTCTGTGTTTTGTGTAAAAGAGGACACATGGAAAGGATGTCATTCTAAAAAACACTTTCTAGTATAACATTGTATTTAGAGATGGAGCCAGGGAAAGGGAGATTTTTATATTCTTTCCCAAACATTTTGTTCCACATGTGCCATTTTCTCTTTATTTTGGTTGCATTTCATTTCAAGCTTTATTGTCAATCGTCAATTCTTAAACTTTTTTTGGTTATTTTGTCATTAGATTTGATTAATTTTAAAAGATTATTGTCACTGCTTTGGAAAGCTGCTTCCCTGTGGACATTCGCAACAGGATATTACTGTCAGAGACAGAGGGAAATAAAACCGGGTGTGATTTATTCAGTTGTGCAAATGAAAGTAAATCCCCGATTCTGGCAACGGGTCGCAGCAGAAGAAAACGTGATTGCCCAACTCATGTCACTTGATAGTTTTGTTATGATGACTAATTGAAAATCTGAGTCCTTACGCTATCTGTATCTGGGGCAAATGTGCCATGTTAAGACATCAGGATCCACATCAGAGGCAGAAAAAAAAAACAACTTCTACTTTGTCGTAGTTAGAAAATAAAATTTAATCTATACAAGATAAGAGTGTTCATACATAGATACAGGTGCAGAACAGGACACTGAATACTGCTCAGCTATAGAGATTCCTGCTGGTTTTCACAGCTGTTTCACAGCGCAACACGACCGACTGGAAAAGACTGAAAAGACAAAATCACCTCAAGTGATTAACAAAGCATTTCATATGTTTAGGAATACAAAGCCGTATAAAACAAGTACAATATTGAACAGACAACAACTCCAAAAAAATAAGGGTGTAAACATCTGGTGAATATGTGCTTTTCATGACGCCAGCGTCACCACAAATCGGATCAACAGATAACTGCCACCGTTGGGGCAGGGCATAGAAATCAACATAAAAAAAAACTCAACTCCATCTGGTGTATTTGTATCGAGTATTGTAACCTAATAACTCTACACCTGTATATTTCAGTTAGTATACGTAAGAAAACTGCGGAAAACTAAGCCTTTGTGAGTTTCTGCATTGAAACAATGTCACACAATCTACTCGGGGCTTTTGTAACAGAGCACCATGTTGCTTTTAGTGTGTTTCCTCAGCGCTGTGTCCAGTCCTCCTCTCCTCTCCTCTGTTCATTGGTCCCTTTGTTGTAGAGATGGTGGAAGCCACAACCAGGCACAGCAGGTGTCAAAGACGACGTTTATCGTGGAGATGAAACTGGGGATTTTCATTCTTCCGCTGGTCAAAGCCAGCTCCTGTAGCAGTACTGAGGAAGCCCCAAAACCTCAGATCATTGGGCAAAAGTCTCCAGCTTGGAGCTCAAGTGCTTGTTCAGAATTGTATTGCCAGTAATGTTTTCATTGAAATGGCAGCTGTGGTGTTGCTAGTGTGGGCATCAGGGCCTTACAGTCCCCGCGTTCCCTGTCTTCACTTGGTTTCTGTGGACAGCTCCTCCAGCAGCGGGTTGGCCTCGCTCTCTGGTGTTTTGATGCTGTCGGTTCGCACGATGCAGGTGGGTCTGTGGAGGTTGAGCATCACCATCAGCTGCTGCCTCTCCATTCGGAGTTCTTCGATCTGGGCCTTTAGGTCAGAGTTTACCATTTCCAGACGCTCCGATTCCTGGACAAATATGTCGAATTATTAGATGCTAACGGACAAACAAACTGCCTGGACTGCAGCAGCCGTCCGCCTGGACAAATAGTTGCAGCCAAAACCAACAGAGTTGTACTAGCCGAACTGGCCTGAATGGGTTTGACACGAATCAGCCGTTCAAGTTTAGTAAAGCCTGATTATTTTGGGCTGCTTAAAACACTGCTGCTGCTGCTGCTGTCAAGTATGCAGTGCTGAGTCATGAACTCACCCTTTGAAGGAAGTCGGTCCGTTCCTTCTTTTTGTTTCGGCATCGAGCTGCTGCTACCTTATTTTTCTCTCGTCTTCGTTTCCTCCTTTCTTCATCTTCATCCCTCTGCAAACACAAATATTTTTAGTAAAGACAGACACAATTTTTTTCTATTGAATTAATATATTATATCTCTTCCTTTTCCTTCATAAAGACTCTTTTCATTCATTTGAAAACAGAAAAGGTTCTACATATAAATCATCGACTGTTGGTTATGGGAAAATGTAGGGTTAACTTGTTAAAAAAGCAAATCACCTGGAAAACCAAAGACAAAACCAATGGTGGTGACTCAGTGTTTATATTTTCCACTCCTCATCTTCCTTCTCACCTCTGTCTTGATGGCCAGTGGCCTCTTCCCCAGCCTGCTCAGGAAATGCAGGGGGGACAGCATGGAGCCCAGCTGGTGGAAGTCTGCCAGCTTCAGCTGATCAGTGAGTGTGGTGGCCGAGATGCCCGCCAGCGGGCCCAAGCTGGGCAGGGAGCCCGCCGCCAGCGAAGGGTCAGGTATCTGTCCCGGCATCATGTCCAACCCGGCCACCACCGCCGCTGTGGACAAAGAGAGGAAAGACAAACAGAGAGAACGATTAGGATGAGGGGATCTGGTCCAAAGCTAAACTGCTGCTGAGAAAAATTCACTGCAGCTCTTTTGGTGATACAGTGGAAAGCAGTTTCCCCTTTTTGTCTAAAGCAAGACCAGCATAACGATGGAAAAACACAATGTAATCCATCACCAGATAACAGGAAGAGACAAACTGCTCATGTCTCTGCCTTAAAGCATGTGGTTTAGGACAGACTTCTGTTGGTTTGTTGTTTACTTGTATTACAGTTTTAAACATCTTGTAGTACAATATGCTCAATGCTGGATGTTGAGAGGGAGTCCAGATTTTTCCCCCTCACAAAACAAAGACTAACTGCGCACCTACAGCTACAAATGGCAAATATATATCTAAAATTCTTCATTTGTTCCAATGATTCAATCACATGCTGTATGTACATTATTATGTATTCCACATCAGACTCCAGATAAATCCCATCGTACATTCTTCCCATGAAACAAGCAAATCAATCCATTCACTTAATTTGACATCAGTTTCTTTTTCTCTGAATTTTCCTCTGTCTTTGTCCTAAAACGTCGTTCTAAATGCGGGTTGTCGTTTCCCAGAATGAAAGCAAGAGCTGACAGCTTCGACAGCTGTGTTATCTTCTTAGTCGCCAGCGGATGAGAAAACAAACTCGAAGCTGTCATCAGCTCCACACTCATCTTCTCAGCATCGCATGCAAAGGGCAGCAGGGAAGCCTCTACTGTGATCACACAGGGCCCCGTCTTCCACACTCGGATTGTTTAAGTGGTTTTGGACTTCAATGTTTTGATTCAAGGGAAATCAAAAGGGAGGGAAAGCCTCAAACATTCAATTGCTGCCCTCTTCCAATTTAGAGTAGTTTGGAGGGTTTGATCACAGCAGTTTTTAATGTAATCAGGGAGGAATGAGGGACAGAGAGGGGAGAAAGAAAAGGCTGCGCAGGAATAAAGGAGGAGGCTGAAGAATTAAGACGTCTCTAATTACTGTGAGGCAGAGACTTGGAAAACCTCTGATGGCCAAATAAAAAACAAATGTTACAGATCAGAGCGGCGTAACATGAACCCTCTCTCCTTTAGCCAGCCCCACAGTCTGTGTGGAGAGGCAGGATGGGAGCAGGGATCGAAATGTTTGACGGAGGTAGTTGCTGATTCCACATACAGAAACAGATGCGGTGACATAAAAGAGTCGGCCTGTGGGCAACGAGGTAAAATAATCCCTGCTTCCACTGTTGAAAGGTTACACAAAGCAGAGACAGAATCGATGGGTGGCTCTAATTCGTCCTTCACAAAACCCCAACACCTGAAACAACCCGTGCTTCAACAGCTACTGCGCCGACAACAGACAGGATTACCAGGCACACCCGAGGCCACCAGCAGTTTCAGACGGCACACATGATATCGGTGTAACCGACATTAATAGCATTATTCACATTTGCCTCCTGAGCATTCAGCTGCAGCTGAACCTCGACAGGTTTGGCACAAACTGAACAAAGCCCCTCTCATATAGAGGCAACAAAGGCGTGCATTGTGAGCTGCTGCTGCAAAAACAGCTGACTTTGCTGGTGGCTGACAGGCTGACTGTATAGGAAGTTAGAAGTTTTTCTCTCTTTACTGCTTTTTTTGGTAGAGACTCTGCCTATTACAAAGGCTATAAAAGAAGTAATAGCGAAAGCCAGGGTTATGTAACTCTATTCTGATGCACTCCACCCTTCTTATGGGCTTGGTGCTCAAAGTGTTTTTACAGTTGCAGCGGAGTGGACTGTTGTATGAAAAGAAGACTAAATAAGTCAAAAGCGTTGCCTCGCCGCTGACTTACTGAGACATTCCATCCATCCTGATTACATTGCAGACTTCTGTCATCAACAGTCATTTTAAAAAATTGGAAGTTGGACACCCCCTTGAAAAGTTGTTTGCCTCCGTTTGCCTGCAACTTTAGCCGTTAAAAAAACAGAAAGAGGAAGATGCAATACATTCACAGCCAAAAGCTCTTCCTGACTTGTTCCCTACCACCCCCCCGACCACATAATTTACTCACTCCAAGGAGAAGCTGGTGTGTGGAACTAGTGTCTCATGATGCATTTTATTACAGAAGTCCTGACTGCCCTCCCTTCCTCTCTCCTGCTCTATGTATACTCCCATTTACACTGAGCTTGGCAGTACGCTGCTGTTTTTTCTGGAAAGGAAAGGAACAAGACAGCCCTGGCAAAAAAATAAAAAAAATAAAAAAAAGCTCTCAGACAAAATTCCTTCTCTCTGAGACTCCCAGAAGGGATGTAATGGAAGGTGCTCAGACTTTCTCTGCTGCTGAGAGGCTCTCTAAGAACAAGGAAATCATACAGCAGTTGATTCCGCACCAACATCTACGGCACATGATGTGGTTCACTTATTATTGATGCATTGGTTTAAAGGGTTTTTACTGTAATATAGTCATTTCCTTTTTAGAGATACAGACTCTGCCCACAATTGAGTTTATGACACATTTGATCCACTGGTCCACATATCTATGTAATTACACCTCTGATATTTTTAAAAACAGATTAGGACTGACTGAGCCAAAGTGGAGTTGGGATATCAAAGTTGCCAGACACTTGGGTCTTGCCTGTATGGCACTCCGGCATGGTGAAGTGCACAAGAAAAAGACACACAAAAAAAAATAGATGCATGCATGCACACAAAGATAAAACAAGATGTCTACTGGCCAGTTTATGCGTGCTTGTTATGTGCAACACAGTGTAACTGAACCACGCTGTCAGGAAAGCCCCCATTCCTCAGTATGACTTGTCGAAACATGCAGTTAAATCCATCACATACACAAAAACATCCATGCTTTTTAGTATGTACACTCAAAAGCAAAAAGAAAAATCTTTTATTCGAAACAGAATCAGATCAAACCCATCAAAATTTACAGAGATAGCTTTGTTGGAAGGCAAAATGAAAGCAAAGTGATCCAGAAACTAGATGTTCATCAGTAATGAGACATAGAAATGAGTTACACGCCACTCCAGACAAGCTGGTGTTGTTAAATCCCACAGAACAAGCTGTTGGCGTGTCTGACTTCTGAGTTAAAGACGACTTTTAAGCGGTGCTGAAAGTTTGCTGTTAGATTTCTTCCAGCCTGCCACACAAAGGTCTGAAAATCCCCCTCACAAACTCAACACCCATCAACCCTCGAGACATGAAACCCTTAAAAGCCCTCATCTGTACAACACAGGGAAAGTTTGCTAATGAAAGTCTTGCAGGGCGTAATTATATTCAAAAGCATGAGTCAAAGTGAATTTTACATTTTTCAAAGGAGGCGTATTTCTGCCTTTTTTTCCCCCACTCTCCTCTCGGCAGCAGCCTGCAAAGATTAGCGGTCAGCGTTCAGTGATGCAACAGCATTGCTTCTGCAGTCCGGAGGGAAGCCAGAACCAGAATGCTTGACTTTGACCAAGACTCATACAGAGCTGAGCAGCAGCATGGGCACCACCAGCACTTAGACTGGGGAGCAGAAATGTCTCGTATCAGTTATGGAAACACAGAAGCAGACCTGTTTGCTGGCTTATTTGCTCAGACACTTTACCTGTTTCAGCTGGACTAAATGTGTCCATTTCCTGAGAGTAATTAGCAGAGCTGAGGAATTCAGCTCCATTCAAACGGCCGGCTGCGCGATGACTTGAGGCCTCATTATCCTCATTCCTTATAGAGAGTTTGAAGGAGACGGGGGGTGGACGGATTTCAGAGGCCTCTCATTACCTTTACATAGCTGAGCTGTTCAGAAGGGCGCAGACGGACCTAACCATCGCTGGCAAATTATTTCCTTTCTAACGGAAATTTGTCAGAAATGGTTCAGGTTTTAAGTTACCAGACTGCTCCATTTACAGACTGCAGCATGGAGATGCTGACGGGAAGCGTTGTGCGCTCTCCCACCTCTCCCTGCATAGTCTCCTTTTGGATTAATAAGGCATCGGCGGGGCCACACACCTGCATTTCTGTGAAACATCTCACAAACAGCATTTGACTATAAGCACGAGCTGGAAACGCGCAGTGAGCGAGGACTCTGAAGCCAAGGTACACTCTCTGAATCTCCAGCCAAGGTCTGGGCGATCACCATTACCGTCAGGCTGTGGACTCGGAGCCTTTCACAATCCCCGGGGGAAACCAGGGAATTTGGCAGCAACTTTCCGCAAGGACAGGACAGTCCAAATATACAATATTAACACTCCTCCAATCGCTCATTCTATTTTCATTGGAGAGTGGTGATGAGAAACAGGCGCGGAGCATTATTACTGCGTCTGCTGCCCTCGTCTGCTGGTGTCACCTCTGACTGTTAAACCTGAGGGGACTCAGAGGGTGAATGCCAGTGGAAACGATTATCAAAACAGAAATTTCAGATCAGCTTTCGTTTCTTTCTTTTTTTTCCAGTTACTGCCACAGATAGAAGGAACTTCCCACAGCTCCTCTTGTGAAGATAACCTCCCAAAGCATTTCAACATCGTGATATTTAGCCCAAACCGCAGTCTGTCCTGATGAGATGACACTTTCTGCTGAGCTAATTCCACAGCTCAGCGGTAAAGGAGCTGGAGTAAGCAGTGCAGGACTTGAATGACTACATTTTACTGTAAACTGCCGCCTATGAATGATTTTTTTTCCAGTCAAATCCAAACACTGAGCACCTGCAGATACGCACAAAGCATTCAAACATGGCTGTGTGATCATTGGCTGGCTTCCTGCTGGGCCTGCATCTTTCCATTCAAACACTCACATCTATATTCTGCCTCTGGGTGGTCTCGGTTGAATTACTATAATGTTGCTATTTTTCTCCATGCTGCAAGTCAAGATCAGACTGCACGGCGGAGAGCTTTGGCGTGGCTCAGACGTGGATTACCATCAATCAAAATCCAAACACCTCGTAAGAAGCCTTTTTATAACGTATAGAGTTCGCTTCTGTGACAAATGCACGGTGAGAAATGTGCAATCCCTGGCAGCTAAATGTTGGCCAAGCACGTCCTGAAAATTAGATTTAATGCTGCCTGCTGAAGCAATCACCAGTATTATGTAACATGTGGTTGTCACTTTAAAGCTGCTTCATACTTTGTCCTCCGATATTTCCCCATCTGCCCCGTGTCAAGCAGACACTTGCACAGTGCAGACAGAGTGATTAAACTCGCTCCAGTGTCAGCACTGTGCCGCCTCTTTAGTTACTCTCAGAAACGTCAGGCTATAGGGAGGGTTAGTGTTAGGTCAACACTCAGTGACAAGAGAGCTTTCTGTCTGAACGCAGAAAGCTGGTTTCAGTTCCAAAATGAAATTCAATAAACCTGGAAACCACAACTATGTGAAAAAGAAAAAGCATGCCGTTTCTCGAAAAGCGCTGGCTTTAACATCTCTTCTCAGTTACAGCGTTGGAGATTTGGGTTTTTGTTTTCACGCAGCACATCCAGTTTGTCTGAAAAGCCTGTTTTTTTTTTTAGAAAGCACGCAGAAAGACTTATGGGGACTACAATGGGATTCTGATAATTTGATACCCACAGAAGTGAATAGCTGCTCCCGCAGCATTAGCATTAGTACCACTGAGCTGTTGCATAGTTGGCTGGCTCACCTGCAATGCGTCTGCCGTCTGTTCAGCGTGCTGGGGTGCAGCCTGGCAATTCTAGCTCTCCAGAGACGCGCTGGAAGGCATTTCTACTTAAAATAAACCCTGTGCGCCCACGTCCAGCCTCTGAGCCCTGTCGGCCCCGCGCTGCCTGTCGGCTCGCCAGCCCTTTCCCATTAATCCACTGCAGATTTCCATTTATGCGGAAACCATCTCGTGGATGTGTCCAGCCAGGCGCTGGGCATTTCAAACCTCCCGAACACACGCTCGCTCACTTAGACCCACACAAACATAGATGCAGCCACAAAGGAAACATCTATAAAGAACACGCAAATAGTTTCCCCTGCATGGCATATATTTGTACAAGCATGCAGTGCACCAGCTGAAGGGCACGCATGCCCCGAGTCGGAAAACTCTGAACCTGCAAACCTCTGACAAGACCTCCCTCCCCCTCACTCGGGCCGCAACGCACGAACCCGTCACAACCCATCCCTGCCAATAATCTTTTCAATGCCATGCCTGACCTTTGCCCTTCAGTCCACCGAGGGCAGAAACGCTGACCTAGAAACATGCACTGTTACATAATAAAGCATAAATCATTTTAAAACAAGCTAAAGTTGGCAAGAGGATGTTGCTCACTACCTGACAACAACAGGTTGCACTGGAGTCTGAATATGCTGCAGTAGGAGTAGGAAAAGTTCCATGAGATGCTTGCAAACACACATCTAATCCAGTATGCGGAAAAACATACGAATCTACAGGGCATACGTGTTTATGATGGACCAAAGCAAAGGCTAGTGATCGGTGGGAGATCACCGGTCTCAGCTGATCTCACATGCTGCCACAGACACTTCGCACTTCAGTTTATACCTCACTTAGGTTTCAAGGTGAATTAGCGATGCCAGTGGGTTCATTTTGTTAAGAAAATCTCTGTTTTAGCCGTTAGGAGAAAGTTTTAAATGCCGACTACTTACTCAGAGAAAACTAGTCAGTCGTCTTCTGTCAATGATGAACTCCGTTTGGACGCTGCAAAGAAATGAAGGGGACATTTGTCAGGTCACTTTTCCTGTGCAAGTCTGACTTTTGTGTTTAGAGCTGGAGGTAACAACTAAAAATAAAATCGAGGAAAAGGGACCTTTCAGTGTTGACATAGTTCAGTCAAATGGTACGACTGTGCATGCTAAACGCTACAACATTTGCTGTGTGGTGATGACCCCTTTGACAGAGTCTGTGGAGGAATTTCTGAACAAATCACAGTGGCAGAAGGCCCGAGGGCCAGAGGGCTCTGTGGATCCCTGCTCCTGAGTCTGTGTCTGAGGTGATGGCTGGCATTTTTCTGTTGGGGGATTACAGCACGATGAAGCCAGATATATTGGAAACGAGTCTCCAAAATTAAATCGATGCACAAAATGACGCAGACGAGCACAGGGGCTTCTCTTTGCGGGTGTCTGGGCTCGGACTCAGGTCAAAGTGGGGGCCCTTTAAAAGCCTGACCCCCCCCCCACCCTCCCCTGTCCCCACACATTCCGGGGAGCCCGTCGGATGCGGCGGGATAGCTAAGCTAGCGGTTGACTTGATGGAAACCCACAACGTGTGTGTGTGTGTGGTGTGTGTTTGTGTGTGTGTGTGTGTGTGTAACGCGTTACATAAGCGCCTTCAACAGGCTAACGGACACTTCGGTTTAGCAACGCTGAAAGGGAAGAGTTCCCGAGACGAAAACGCCTCCTGACACCGGCCAGCGGGGGGGGGGGGGGGGTGTATATAACGAGCTAGGGGGGGAAAAAACGACACTTTTTCTCCAACTGCCGTAACGGCGGGCGTCCCTAACAGCGGTGCCCGCCAAGAGCTGCCCCGCCACGGGCACAAGTTTCAGCCCTCCGCCGGAGGAATGAAGTCATGTGTAACTAAACTCAGCGGCTTCAGTCGCTACAACGTGGTGGAAAAGTGCGTAGGGAAGAAAAAAAATTCAAATACCTGAAGCCCCGCACCTATGAGCAGACCCCAAACGCCCCCCCTCCCACCCCCCCTGTCCCAAAACCCCAAAACCTGCACGTTAGCTTGACGGTTTAAAGGCTGACTTACCTTCCCAGCGCCCAAAATCCGCAGTCACAACAAGAGGCGGCGGGAGGGAGGCGGCCTGGCTTTTCGACTGAGCAGAGGTCGTTGCATCAGCCCGCTTAAGTACCGATGTCGGCTGCGAGGCTCAGGAATGCGGAACTGAGGTCCCAGACGTAAGCATGGATGAAAATAATGTGAGAGGAGGCGCTGAAGACATTCGGGCTTTGTTTGCTCCACCCCATAGCAACCAAGAAAAAAAAACACACACACACAGAGAGAGAGAGAGAGAGACCGAGCGGAGGGCAGGAAAGTTTCAGCGGAGACTGATGGATAGAAATACCGTCGAATCTGGCAAAAGCACCCCCGCGGCTTTAGACGAGTCCAAAATAATGTTGTGAATGTAAACACAGCGTGCACGATGGTATTAACTGTGCCACAGAGTTGGTGTCAGCAGTTCAAATATCTCCGTCCAGACGGTGTGGACTGTTATTACATCAGCCAAAACTATGTCAGTGGAAAAAAAGTCAGATATGCTACAATATAGAGAGATCAATCTTTATGATATACTTAATCTAAGGAATTGTTTTTCAATCTAAACTTTTTTAGATTTAGATACCAGGTATTTGAAGAGGCCCACTCATTTTCATGCTTTAATAAATAAACATCTCTAAATGATTACAACTGTAAAAAATCTTCCAGGAAGAGCTGGACGTTGAACGCGACGCAGTTAAAAACTAATTGCTCCTTCTGTGAGATATTCTGCACATCTGTGAGACAGATCAGACACGTCACTGCCCAACAATTTATCTGTTGTATCAGTGATGTAAACTGCAAAGTAACCCCTGACTGGAGCTCCCAGTGTAGGGACTGCTCAGCCAAAACGAGTGCCTGCAGGACTTCTTTTGAAAATATAGTGGAGCAGAGAAGGGAAGCAACAGAAGGATGTGTTTATGAAACTAATACTTCAGATATGACACATGCAGAAACGTAAATAGTTGCATTACGTTTAAGCTAGTTAGTGAAGAAGTGTACACAATCTCAGATACCAAGCTTTTGTTTATTTTGTGAAGAAAAACTAATCTGAACAAAAATAAATGTTGGTCTACAGGTCGAAAGATTGCTGGTGAGAGAGATTTTTTCTAAAGACAAGTGTCTGAAACCAGCATCCTTTTGAGGCATTTCATCCCTGTTTCATGTTTGTTTTCCTCCAACAAATTAATCTATTTTCATATTTGTCTAATGGTGCGATCCCAGGCATTTACGAGTCAAAAGAGGAGCCACAAAAAGTTCTGCGGTGGGAACTGATGAAGAAAGATTGACCTTGAAATCCTGCAGAGTTTTTTAACTCTGTAGCTGCTCTGAAAGTGCAATTAACTTGGCTTTGAGTATTGATTAAGTTGGATCTTGATTCATAAAGAGAAACTTTAACGAGAATCAGGTCTGCTTAATTGTGATAGTGGCAGAAAGTTCCAGAAAAAATATTTGGATGACTCTTCCTGCTGCTTCCCCCTAGTGTGAGCCGTTGTAATTACGTCCTGTTGCACATTTTTTTACGAGGGAAAACGTTTCTCTACATGGCATACAGTTACTGTCATTGAGCTCTGCAGAAAATACCATGATTAACTACATCTTTTACCTGAGATTGTTCAGGCACAGGCCCAAAATCATATCCTTTAGTACACCCTAAAAGTGTCAGCCTTCTGGTTTCCTCAGTTGTGTGATCACTGATCGAATAAAACAAGTGATCAAGCAGCTCACTCGTCGCTATACCTGTTATTACATGTCAGGTTTTAGTTGGGCTATTATCTCAGGCTCAGTTGGGTTTAACACAATGCCAGCTCAGGCGTTCCAGCTAGAACAAGCAGCCGAGTTATTAGAGCCTCGCCAAAATACCCCACTCTGTTCCTTTTTTAGATTCTAATTCGGTTCCTCTGTGATTTATGTCTCCCATCTGAGGGGATGTCGGGGGGGGACTGTGCGTCACAGTCTCTCTCAATGCTGGTGACAAATTTTCGGGGAGATATTTGGAGCTAATAAAGCAGAACTCGCAAAAAAAATGATATATTTCACTAGGCAGGAGGGTCCTGGCCACTCGTGGCTCAGACAGGAGGGAGGTTTTCCTTCACAGGTTTATAGATTTAACTGAATTCCTCTGTGTCTGCAGGGAGGCGGCAGGGATGTCACTCAGCACACCAACACACATGGTATAGGCTCATTTTCCTCGTAAAGCCTTGAAGAAAGAATTGTCCCCGCCAATTACAACAATCGCTGGTTACAAATCTAAAGATAGACCGGTTTAATTTGTTTTCCTTTGCCATGTCTAAGTGGGAACTGTTCAAATATCCACGTTCTATTTTAAAATTCATAATGGTATCAGTGTGCACTGTACTTACCAGTGTTTTTGGAATTGTCCATTCCTTCAGAGTTTTGCATGAAAACACGATCCTGTGTGCACGTTCCAGTAGCTGCCAAAATGATGAATGGAGAGAGAAGTCAGTTTGTGGTTTAGCAGCTCTGCCAGACTTTCTTCGGCAGTCAAAGCAATGTAACTGCTTTTTCTGTATTCGCAAATCCTTGTTTTATAGAGTTTTAGTTTTAGAGATGGGTATATACATGTATGCTGTTCTACTTCATTGGTTTATTGTGGGGTCTTGCTGGGTAATGTCGTGTCCTGTTAATATCATCCTGGAATTGATTTTGCTCCCATTCAATGGTTTAGTTTTACTTCCTGTTTTAATCTGTTGAGCTTCTCCTCTGTGTACTCGCCTGGCCTCATCACACCAGGCCTTCGCCTGCAGACCACCACATAACTTTTAAAAGCTTTAGTTTTTATTCAGTTATTTTATTCAGCTTCAGTTTATGTTTGGCCTGGTTTCCTTTTCCAGCAACTTCTGTACATTTTTTGGAAAGCGGATTCAAAGAGTGTTTTTTCAGCTTTCAGTTTGGTTTAAAGTGTAGGGAGGATTTCCTAATTTTAGTCGATTTTCATAAATGTTTTACTATCTTAATTATTGCCATTTCTTCTATTTCCGGCACACCTGACTTAGCATTTGACTCTGAAAAGTTTCTCACATATTGACTTAATTATACTCATATGTATTAATAGTTCAATCTGACCATGTGTTTTACATAAATAGCTGAAATGTGTATTTTTTTATTCCTAACCCTGTAAATCCATAGCTGACTTTAAAGCTAAACACAATTGTTGAATGTCAAATACACCAGTCAGTCACGACTATTTTTTTCTGTTAGGATAAAGTTTGACTTCTATCTGCAGGTCAGGTTGATGTGTTTGGTAGTATATAATGTGGCATCACATTTTAGGGAAATACCCAATGGACCAGACACAACCTGACTCACCCACCACAGAGCAGACATAACCGACAAAGTTTATTTAAAAGCTACTCCATATAATTTCCTTCCTTTCTTTTGTTCTTCTTTTTCAGTAATCTCAGACAATTGTAGACATCATCGAAATAGGTGTATTAATAATGAAAGATCTGCATTTAAGTCATGTTATTTAAAGAGGTTGTGCTCCTTTTTCCAAGCTGGATTTGATATTTGGAAATATTCTGTTACTACAGAGTCAAATTTCCCATTTTCTTACAGCAACGCAGTGAGCAAAAAGTCTTACTTTGCCACACTATCTTATGATCGTCAAATTCTGATTTGATGCAATTTTGTGCCAAACACCAATATCAGTACACTGTTTTCTGTCCCAATACAAACGGGATTTTTGCCTTAAAAAAACACACGGCGACCATCACTCCTCCTACCCTTTGATCATCCTGTTTCCATTTAGATCCAATCTCTCATTGGCATGGATTCACCAATTAATACTACTATAGAAACATAACAGTGTCCTCCTTTAAATTCCAACAACTGACTGTTTTGTTTTATACTGTGAATTTTATTATGTCAATTTCTTTTAAGCACATGGAACAAAAAAAAAAGATGAAGCAGTGAGTTCATGCACGTATCAAGCCCGTCTTTGGCACCCGTACAAGACTACTGTCTCACAGCGTTACTCATGTCAGGTGACCCAGCCTCCCCAAATCTAAATGGCATTGATTTATCCCTGTAAATATAGCACTTCCTCGGGAATATCACAGCAAGCAGGAAACAGAACAGTCAGCGGGTGCATGAGCTAACAGATGAGCAGTCAGTGAGCAGCACAACAAATAAAGGAAAGACGGATATCTGTAACTGGGCGGGCAATATTAGACATGTAACAGGGTGCTGATGTGAAATCCTCTCATCCTGAGACGTTTTCCAACGTCACCATGATTTATATCCTACTAATTAGTCAGATTAAACCAAAGCTGTGTGGTGAAAAATTCAACTACTATTACACATAAAAAACACACAGTGGCTGAGCCCCACCTCAGGCTTCCCGCTCTACATTCCGAGCAGATAGGTATCTGGTAAGTGTAGACAGATATCTTATCAAATGATTCCCGGATGAACATCCAAATAAAACCAGCTCCAGAACATGTTGACAAGTTAACACAGGAAAAGTTTGTGATGGCGGAGTTTCAGTGTCATGGCCCTGCCCGTGTGTATGTAAACAGTTGAGCAAAGCCACACAAAGATCTGTAAAAGGTGAAGTGTGTCCCATAACTTCTAACACACACAGCGTCTCTGTTTGCACAGAATTGACCAAAGACATCATGGTTGAATCCTAAAGTGGAAAAAGCGCACAAGGCCTTAAAATGGTCAGGGAAGTCAAATTAGGTCATACTTTGCCCATTCAGTTACAGAGAACGTGAACTGGGATTAGACACTTGTGACAGGTTGGCTTCCAAAAAGTTTGACATTCTGCAATAACAAATGTACAGCTTTAAATATGTCAAACTAAAGTGAAGATGTTAACAAATTTGTTTAATAACACCTTCCTGGGGGGGTTTTCAACATTAAACCTCCACTTTTTAAAAAGTTTTTCAATGCCTGAGAACTCTCACAGTTAGAATTGTAGTTTAGAAGGGAGGGCTGAGAGAGCTGCTGCCTCCTCAATCTGTGCTGCTGCCTGCTCTGCAGCGCCTCCTACTGGTTTCAGTGGAGACAGCACATCTCACATGAACCAAATTCTGTGGAGAGGAGCTTTAAACTCCGACCTTTTCTCATGCATTAATGTTAACGAAAAGAAAAACCCCTCTGTGAAATAGTGAGGGTTTTATTAAAAGCCTGATCGATCCTTTTGCAATTAAAAAAAAAATCAATCTAAGCATACTAAAGCCTTTCAATTCCCGAATGCTGTTTTGAGAAAAGGTTTGGATTTAAAACAATCTCCACAATTACCATGACGCACTTGAGAGCGTTTCTCTAATTGATGAGGAAGTTTCGTCTGCTAACAATCAGCTGCATTCCTCCCTGATCATGTCTAGATTTATTTTCCTGAAATATGACACCTGTTGCCATGGAAGCAAAATAGCTGCAACTCCAAATATGGGCAAAGGAAGTGAAACGGTGCGGCAGTCGCGCGATGACGTCAGGCACGGTCGGAACAGTACGTACAGCTACGAGGAATCGGTTCGCTTGACCGTGACAATGGCGGAACAGAAATGGAACTATGAATAAATTATTAACCTGCTGTTTCTACGGCTCCCACTCGGTTTGAAGAGGATCTAGTCCCCGTCGGCTGCACTTTATGTAATACCGAAACCAAAAATAGGCACACTGACTTGTTTTTGGAGTGACACTTAGCAAGAAGGCATTTGTTCAAACACCACCTTCCCCTCTCCAACGCCAGCACGGTCCCTCTTGTTATCTTCTCCCACAACATTCAGCTTTATAATGAATGTGTCAATGGCCTTACCAGTCTCTGTTTAGCTTTTTAATGCGTTAGTTTTGGCTTTGTTCTGTCCTTTGGGTCTTGAAGTGCCCACTTTATATCTGTTGAGGAATGAATATGATTGGAAATCTGCATAATAGCTTCGAACGAGATCCCTTATTTTGAGTTATGACTGTTTATTCAAACAGAGTCATTCTTTGACTGACAACAATGGTAAGACAAAGCGTGGATGTTTTGCTTTATTTCCAGCATCGTTCACTTGTTTTGTTTTGCTCTTTTTTGCATCAGTATCATCTTTTGATATGTAAAAAAATAAACTATGTCATAAAATACATCTTGAGAAAATACATGGCATGATCAGTTTTGTCATGGAAATACTTGAAAGGAAATGTAGTCAAGTCAGGGGACACCTTACAGCAAGATGTTACACGTACGCTGCTACATATAACCCTCTATTTTCACGTGCTACAACTTTAGTCAACAGTATTAACACGTATGCTAATAAGCATAAATTCACATCACAGGAAGTTATTTAAAAACACAAGATACCACCTCTTGGAATACCAATGATTTAGATTTGCATGCACTTTGAATCCAGCACATAGTCTCAATTCAAACAATTGTAACGATATGGAATAATTAAACCCTGTTACAGTCACAGAAAACGCACCATCTTAGATGTTTAGGTTTACACAACATCCAAGCTCACACTACAAAAGATTATCATAGATAGAGATCATAGCTTTCTGGCTGGCTAGATTACAAATACAGAGTAATGTTGCATAACTTCTTTGCATTCACAAGGCCAGTAGAGTTGGCGAGTTAAGACTATCTTTCATTAACTCAGAAGCTCCAAGGCCGCCTTTGAGGCCCTCACAGGTGTCAGCCAAGGATTCAATCTCAGAATAATTAAAGGAGAAGACTGAGCGGTAATTGCTACAAGTGGGACTGGAAGACATGACCGGTGTGCTCAAAGACTCAAGATCACTTGCTACAGATTTGTACAGAGTTTCCCAGTCTGGCAGGCTGAAGGGGCCGCTCAGGTCTATGTCAGGGACGGAGGCAGCCGTCTCTGAGGTCACGGCCATCTCCAGGCTTGGCACCAAGTCGTCCAGGTCATCCCCTTGCAAGTCCTCCAGAGTCTCTTCTTCTGCGCTGGAACACAGGAGAATGTTGGAGTTTCCCAGAATGGCAGCAGCTGGGATGCATGGGACATTGTCCATGTCCTGACTAGCAGGGATTTCTCCGACCGCCGCGTTGCTCTCTGGAGCCTTTACATTCTCTAGGATGGACAGCAGCTGCGGGAAGGCTGGAGGATCCTGCAGCATTGAGTTAACATCATCATCCTCCTCCCTGTCACTGTCATGGTTAGCAGGGAGTTTGCAGGGAGGTTTGTGGGAAGCTAAGACGTGCTCCAGTCTCTCCTTTTCCTTCAGCAGGGTGGCTATCTCTGTCTGAAGGACAGACTTCTCCTCCTCCAGCAAATCGGTTTCCTGAGGGAGGACGGCACATAAACAGGAGACACAGCATGAGCGAAGTGTGAAGGCATCTCCCTGTGGTGACCAGAGCTCTGCAGGCATCCCTGCTTCGCTATAGTTGTAGTGATGGCACGTTACTTCCATGTATGTGTTCAATTTTGGAGGCATGCATGTTGTAATTTCATAAAACACCACACTTACAGCTTGAAGGCTGTCTATTAGCTCCCTCCTTCTGTTACGACACTTTGCTGCAGCAATCTTGTTCCTCTCCCTCCTGATCCTCCTCCTTTCCTCCTCCTCTTTGGAAGGCTAAAATCAATCAGGAGAAAGGAAGCATTTCATTTCGCATCCTGCTCATTCTCACCGTATCAGCAGTTGGCTTCTGGACACCATTCCATTTGCCAAAAATGAAAAAAGCCTGGTCGCTCTGAGTGCTGAGAATACTGATCTTGTCTGTGCAGACTCAGGTCGTGCAGATGCTGCACTACTGGCACGGTCTCGCTGCGCGTGTGAACGCGCGTTTGATGCTGCTTCCGTTCCCAGCCACAATACACAGACCTGTAATCCTTCAACTTCACTAACCACTTTATCTAATGTGACAAATTCTGGGGTTTTTTAAATAGTCGTCAGGTTTTTTTTTATTGTAACTGCAACAACGGTTAATTAACCTTATTTTTCTCAGTGACGATCAAATATCGCGATATCTCAATTTTTGAATTAACCTATATAAAAATGGGACCGAGGAGTTGGGCAGAAATATTGAAGAACACCCTGACTTCTGTTTTTGCCTGGTTAATTTACAGATGTGTTGAATGATTCAAATCAAGGTCATTTTTTTTACACCGAACACTGACGTTTTTGTCCTGGTTGTCCCCTCGCGTACCTGCTCTTTTTGCCCTTTCCTCTTGCAGGCTTTCGCCTTCTTTACACCCGCAGGGGAAGACGTTTGGGTTGCGCCATGACTTCTGGTTTTTGCTCGACCACACGACGCAGAGACAGATGTGACAGCTGTTGGCTGCACCATCCACTTTAGTGACGCTGAGATTACAGCCACAGAGCCGGTGTCACTGTCCTGGAAGAAGCCACATCAGAGACACACGCATCGTCAATCTCCCATTTAGCATATCAGATGAATAAGTCACGTAGCAGCTGACCTTTACCAGTGTTTAAATGGAACATCAATTGTTTGCCAGATAGACGTCAAAGAAAACTAAATCAATGTTGCGACTGTCTAGAATGATCAAAATGACAAACGTCATATCGCAATAACGTTATCTACCGATTTACAGCAATGTTTATTACCGTCATCACTTTCAAATGAAAGGTCACTATCAAAACATTAAAAAACATCTTGGCTTTAAGCCATCAAAACAGAGACTATAGGTACACCTTGTAAAACCTATTCTGCAGAGACACGATGTTAATGTAGAGAATCCTTATTTTTCCATATCATTTACAGCAATACACAGTAATCTTGTTAAAGGGAAAAAAAACTGACAATACAATTAATTTCAAGACATGTGCACGATTCAAGGATTGCTGCCTTCCGTGGCTTGTGCCCGGTGCAACCTGTCAGATTTTGCTCTGCAATTGTCCATCTGATGATTTGGAATGATCGGATCCACTTCTACCTCGGCGCTGTCCACTGATGATGAAAGCGAGTCAGGAGGATGCTGGCTGCACCCAGGGGTGTCCCCGCCAGGCGATGCTGTGCTACAGCTGGAGGAAGGGTCGAACTCTGAGCTGGAGTCTGGATGCATGTTTTATTTGGGAGATATCGGCAGAAAAAAACAAACGCTGGAGCCGTCAGTGTTTTCGAAGCAGAAAGTGATCCCTGAACGCCTACTCCATTTGCCGGGATCATAAATGGTAACTGTGCAGATGTGGAGTGGCCCGCCTTTTATAGTGAGCTGGAATTTTATGAATGAAATCTGTGTGGCGAGACTGAACCATTTCGCAGAGGGAGAAGTGATGGAGAAATCCGGCTGGAAAACGTTTTGGACTTAAACACTGAAATCATTTAAATATCTGAGCCGTAACAGTCGTGAAGCAATTCACTTTTATGTATTTGATTTACTCGAATATCCAAAAACAGTGTAAATGTGTAAAGGGACACCCCTACCCACAGAAGGAGCCCACCGACATGAATGAACTACGTCATTTCATGTATGCAGCATCTGCATCATATAGCTAGTCATAATGTCGTCCCCCCCCCCACGCCCCCCCGAATTCAAGAACACATAAATAGATACATTCTCATTTTTAGATAAAGAGGCGATGGCAGCCATGGAGCAGTCTGTAGATTGTTGAAGGTCCTTTTGACCACTCTGATCAAAACATTTGATTAGAACAATGCTGACGCGAAATCGCCTCAGCTTCTATTTTTATATTGGTCTTATGAACTCAAGGCTCATTTAATCATTCTGCAAAGCTTCCAGAACTCTGGATGAAAAATCAACAATCCGTAAATCTACTTGTCAACTCTTGACCACCTCGCCTCTCACCTGCCTTTGCATGAGAATAACGCTCCAGCAACAGAACCGTCGCTGTAGTAAAGCAGCCAATGGCCAAATGGACCGGTCGCACCATATATGGGTTTCCGGATATCCAGAACGCGCTATCCAGCACGAGGAGCGCGCGGACGAGCGCCTGGCTGCCTGTAGCCCACTCACACACACGGCGAGGAAAGAAAGTGAAACATGCGCCGAAAGACGCGGCCGTCACGCACCTCAGCTGCAAACGGCGTCATTAGCGGAGTCTTCACACACCGTTTTTGCATGTGTAATAAACACCGATATTCTATTTATGACTAGTTACGATGTTCTTCCTGCGGGAATCGTGGATAAACCAGGAAGACATTTTTAAATAGACTTCTTGCTAATTGAATGCTAGTGTAATCCAGCTCCTATTAGAGGATGCTTGTAGATATATTTAGGCCTCACATGACCTCACAGACGCGTGATGTGAGGCTATTTGATGGTGAATAGATGGGGGGGTGCTTTGTCTGCTCAAAGGGGGCTCGCTCCCGGCTGCTTCCCGGCAGTCGCAGCCCCCTCTGAGCCTCTTTACCGGCACATCACTGGGTGGTCAACTAGCTCCTATTCTATAGCAGGCTTCCCAAGACCAGAAGAGTTCAAAGGTCGTAAACACCCGTCACGACAAATCAACGACACGCTTTAATGCGACCGGTTTATTTTTAGATTCAGTGACATCAACGCTGGAGGTTCGTTTAAATGAAGCCAACGCATCACCTTAATTGTTGGAGCTGAACACTACTTCAGGTTTTTATTGTGACATAAAAGCACACGTGGGCGGCTATGAAACACAGGACAATTTAAGTGTACAGATCACTTTGCACAATCAGAAACTGGACTAATATAGGCCTAATCGTACTTTCTTCAGCCAATAATGTGAGGAAGCCCAGCAGTACAAGCTGTCCGGGAGCTGCTGTGGAAGCTTCTGTGCTTGCCAACCATTTAAACAGAAAACAACCCACAAAGCTTGTTTGGTGTCATGTTTCATTCCGCTGCTTTGCAGCTTTCGTAGAGAAATAAAACAATCGACAGAGCTCTCACTCGTAGATGATTTGCTGGAAACCAAAGCTTGCCGTACTCCCCTTCTGACGTCACGACGTATTGTGAGGGTGTTTCTTCGAGGGAGACACCGTGGATCCGATTGGTTTTTTTCTTTCCTGTTGTAGTGAGACTGCGTAGCAACACAAAACATCTTTGTTACTATGCAAAATATCTACGTCACTGACGCGAAGGGGCTGGGCGTTGCTATGGCGACCAGTTATGTTCAACAGAACAAGCGCGGGAAAGAAAACAACAGTGTTTTGACTTGGATTGGATGCACTTTGCCCCACTAACATAATTTTATTTACTAATGATATTTTGAACAATACACTTCTGGTTTGGGCTGTGTCCTCCTCATTTAAGCACCAACAGAGCCTCCTTGTATTTCTTTTAATGGGAGTTGCTTTCACAGACTTCCCAGAAGACATGTGGGAAAGTGGCTGTTTAAGAAAAGAAAATCTTAACTATGTTAAAAGTGTGTATTCATGTGACTGAAATATTAGTGAGTAACCATAGTAATTCAGTTAACAAGGGGGGTAAATAAAGTGAAAGTGTTTGGCCCACATCATGAAATAGGCGTGAGAACTCATTCAGCCTGGGGGAAGACCTCTAAGAACATCTTCACCCTAAAACAGTCCAGCTGCTGTATTGGAAAAGAACATGTAACAAACCATTTGTTGGCTCAGTGCATTGTGAAACACACCCATGTCTGTCTTGCGCACTAGAAGGTACAGTTACTGCCTCCAGCCATCACACACGCAGGTGAACTCTTTTGTGCTGACATGCATTTTCTTTTCTTTTTTTCAAAATATTTTTACTGGAAAAAAACACAATACAATGCAATATCTCCAATACACAATACAATATATCCGGTCACAGAGATACAACTGACCTTTTTTTGTATACAATGACCAGCCCTCCACCCACATCCCCACTCAGTTCATCACAATTACCACAAATAATGTGTACAATATGAAAAGTACAACAATAAAACGCACATAATCAGTTGGGCAGTCCCTTGAAATGAATGAAATAGGAAATAAAGGATTGCCATTTTGGGGGGAAAAAAGTAGCAATCAAATGGCAAAGGTTGCAGCTTTAGGACATAATATTAAGATAACCCAACCAGAAACATTTCAGATCACGACAATGGATTTTCAAAATTGACAAAATGTCACAAATAGATTCTTTGGACTGTTTTTTTTATACTTGTGTGAACCATGAAGATACAGTAACTTATTACAAAATGTTTTTTTTCTACTAAATTTATACTTTGACATTGTTTGTCTGCTTTTCTAACAAATATTTGAGAAGCATGTTCTGAATAAAGTCCTGGAGGATGACATACCCTACAAAGTGATAGCAAAACCTTTTCAGAGGTTACATTTACATTTTGTTGTAAATGTCTTGCAATAAAGACCGTCACATTATTTAACATTCCATTGAAAATGATTTCAAATGAAAGATGTACTTCATGTGCTGAGACGGCTGAAAGGACATTTATTAAAATCATAATTTAGTGTCTGTGCACTTGTGTAACATAATATAGGTCATAGACAATTTTCAGCTTTTTTTGTTTGTTTGTTTTAATATTTGATGTACTTTTGGTGTAAGTTGCACTTTTACCGGCAATCAGCCCTGTTCGTTTAGTTTTCACAACGGCTTCTGTGTCTGTTGTCTTAGGTTACGTCAGGTTGCTGCCCGGCCAATCTCAGATGGTTTCCCATCAAGCTCCGCCCATTTTACAGGATGCACCATATATGGTAAATTACGTATCGGGGATCCCGTTTGAGAACTGGAATATTCCAAGTCTTCAGAATGATCTTAAAAATATTCTAAAGTCATCTCTATTGCCTTTAAAATGTTGGAAACGAGTGCCAACTGTTCAAGTTGACCGCATATATGGAGCTAAAAAGTAGGACTCTGGTGTTATCGCGTTGTTATGGCAGTGTTTGGGTGGTTTTCTCCAAACGGTGTCTCGTAGCCACGCCCCTCTTCGTGACGTCACGATCAGGCTTATATATAGACGGCGAGCTCCCACAGTTGGCAGTTCAACTTTGAGTAGCACAGCAGCGATTAGAAAAAGAAACCGGAGCAGCACTTAAGGAGTTTGTGACATTTGCTACCGGGATATCCTCGTCTCGAGTTTACTATCCCTCTTCCGAAACGTTCGCTTGGATCGTCTTTTCTTGATATTTTTTTTGGGAACGATGATGTTCACTGCTTTCAACACGGAGTGCGACTCTTCCTCCCGCTGCAGCACCGCTTCTCCGTCCGGGGGAGACAATCTGGGATACTACCCGTCACCGGCAGGATCTTACTCCAGCTTGGGATCCCCCCAGTCTCAGGTATGTCCAGACAAATACGACTCAGCATTTTATTGAAAAGTATTCATGCTAAATATTCGAGGGAGTCTTTCATATAATAGATTCAAGCTTATTTGAACATTTGCTCAATGTTAAACTTAATAATATTAATAATAAGTTAATAAAAACGTGTAAGTGATAGATGAAGGATGGATGGCATAAAGGCTCATGTCAATTCTTGAAATAGCACGTTAAACTGCGCTGCACACAGTGCAGGACAGGCTTCATTCATTCATTCACCTGGAAAACTCCATAGAGAGCATGTAACGTCATGGCTGACATCATAGGGATATTTTTAAACGGTCCAACTTCACAGGACCTTTTTGTGCACCCCAGCCTGAAAACTAATGTACTAATGACACTTGCTTTATTTCCTCTAGGAATTTACTGATCTGACAGCATCAAGTGCCTCCTTCATCCCCACCGTCACGGCTATCTCCACGAGCCCAGACCTGCAGTGGATGGTCCAGCCTTTGATCTCCTCGGTGGCCCCCTCTCACAGAGCTCACCCTTACAGCATGAGCCCCAGCCCTGCATACCCCAGATCATCTATGAGATCTGCATCATCCAAGTCTCACACCTCTACCAAGAGGGGCAGAGTAGAACAGGTGAATACCGTTATGACCACTTACCTGAAGTATTACATAATCATTATATATAATCAGCTTTAATGTGCAGCAAAGAGCTTGAGTTTTGACTCTTTTTTATTCTTTCATGTGCAGGTTAATCATGAGGAGGAAGAGAAGCGGAGAATTCGCAGAGAGAGAAATAAGCAGGCAGCCGCTAAATGCCGCAACAGGAGGCGCGAGCTTACAGACACCCTTCAAGCTGTAAGTACATCAGCACATTTACTGTCACTCATCAAAATGTATTTGCTGCCAGAGCAATTAGCAGTGTGATCCAGCAACCAACTAAATACCGCTTCCTTTATTTCCCTCTCCCTGACAGGAAACTGACATGCTGGAGGATGAAAAATCCAACCTGCAGAGTGACATTGCCAACCTGCTGAAGGAGAAGGAAAGGCTTGAGTTCATTCTTGCTGCCCACCAGCCTATCTGCAAAATTCCATCAGAGCTGGAGACGGACTTCCCCGTGTCCTCCATCTCTCCCTCCCACTCCTGCCTCTCTCCCGCCTTGGCTTCCCGGCCAGAAACATCTACCATAACCGCCAGCCAGCCATCCTTCACCTCAACCTCTAACTCCATCTTCTCCAGCACCACGCCCATCCTCTCCACTGCCACTGTCTCCGACAGCACGGTCAAGATGGCCGACCTGGAGGCCTCCGTCCTGGAGGAATCCCTGGATCTGCTGGCAAAGACAGAGATGGAGACGGCACGGTCAGTGCCGGAGGTGGACCTCTCCAACTCCCTTTACACCAGCCAGGACTGGGAGCTCCTTCATACCTCAAGCAACAATAATGACTTGGAGCCTCTGTGCACACCCGTGGTGACCTGCACACCAGCCCTCACCACCTACACGTCCTCTTTTGTGTTCACCTTCCCTGAGGCTGAGACCTTCCCCACTTGTGGCACAGCACACAGGAGAGGAAGCAACAGCAATGAGCAGTCATCCGACTCCCTCAGCTCACCTACCTTGCTGGCTCTTTAAAGACTCTTCCTGAAAGAAAAAAAATCTTCCTATCAGGCACATTTTCTCTGATAATGAAAAAAGATGTGCAGATCACAGGGCTATGGAGCAGACTTGTACCAGGAAGCATATTATTTCTGATTTAATCTGCCTTTATCTATACTTGCCTATTACACCAATGTAGCAAGTTAACGAGCATGTTTGAACTAATACCAACTAGTTATTTTGAGTTCCTATATGATTTCATGGTGCTAGAAAACAAAACTTGTTGTGTATCGATGTGTGTTCAAAGCAATAGTTATTATTTGATCCAGTTTGTTTTCTGGTTAATGGAATGTGAATTGTTTGTGAACCTTTAAAACTGATGTGCTTTGTCTTAACCATGGTTTGAGTGGTCTATCCGAGTATGAAGTTTTCTGTGAAAACATTAGTGTTATTAATTTATGATATTTCAATTTATATATTATTTTTTACAAAGAGTATGGGCAAATGTTATTTGTAAGTTATGTAAATAAAATATAGAAATATTTCAATTCAACGTTGGTGTGTGAAAGAATTCATTGCTCTCCCTCCATACTTTGGAGATGTGAACCGAGATCTGGGCCTGAAAGAGTCAATTATGATAAGGTCTAAAATTAGCCCCAGTAGGGATAGCTGTCTTTTTTCTTTTTTCATGCACCTCCACCGGCTCTATTTATTGTTCCGTCTGTTGCCAAGGCTAACTGTACGTCAAGGGATCTTACGTCAGTGCGTTCTTTCCATTTTTTTTTCTTTTTCATTTGCAAGCCCTGCGTGATGACGTTGGACTTCCTCGCCCAAATATAGAATTCCACGGGCAGTTGCTACTGCAGTCTGAGAGAGAGCGGACGCGTTCTTCCGCGGAGACTGAGGCCTCCCTGTCAGGCTTCCCTCTGCAGCCACAGTTGGCCTGTCCGCTGGGGGGGGGGAAAAAAAGGGAAGAGTCGGTGCTTTGCTTCCGCTTCCGAGGCCGCACTGTTTCTCACATCTCGTTTCGACACAGACGCGCACTCCGCACGGGTTCGCGACCAGTGAGAAGAGGATCCGAAAGCAGCGTTAAAGCCGCGGTTTGCGTTGGCGTGCATCGTCTTTTTCACTTGGCAACGTGTGAATACGTCAAACCGTCACACATCAGTCAGGGACGAGCGTTTAGAGCTAGTAAAAATAAACAGTTCACTCAAGGAGCACGGCCAGCATCATATCTAATGCCCTCCTCCTTACATGACCTCTTTGCAAGCACCTATGTGCAGAGGATGGTGAAAAGGTCCTACAGAAATATCTTGGAAACGTGGTTATCTGCTAATCTAATTAGCAAATAGTATTATATAGTGGAATTGGTTTTGCGTTGCAGTTGTGTTATTTCATATATTACACTTGTGTCAAAATGATTAATTGGGATTGTCATTCTTTTTTTGTTTGTTTTTTTTTCCAGGTGTGGCTTAGCAAAGAAATGATTCTATTTGGGCAGCACTTATTTGCCTGCAGTTTTTCATGGAGCTGTACTCTTCCCCACTTTTACTCGTAATTCCCACTCGCTTTAACCTTCTTAACTGCGTTGCACCATGCGCGGACAGAATCATGTAAGGGTTGGTTGCCTAATGACTTTTTCCACAGGAAACACATGGTGAGTGTACGAGGGAGACACTCCTGTGTAGACTGGGATCACACAATAACTAACCAGCTCTGACGTTTGAGCGAAGTGGTCACACCCTTAAGGTGTAACACCGTACCAGACACAACCTGCTGCTGTGCCACTTCCCGTTTGGACACGGGCCGTCTTGTACTGAGCCTAACCTGAAATATCACATATTTGGTACGGTTGGAACAATTTAACTAGCAAACGTATTGGGTAATGCGCGTTCTTCCGTAAAACTTTGTAAATGCTTCAATGAAGATTCCCTTGTCCTGCTGTCGCATTGCTATTGCATAACAGCCTGATTCTGAATGCCGGTTTTCCTTTGCACTTTAGCAGAACTTCCCTTTATTCTTCTTCAAAAAAAGAAAAAAAGCTTCTATGTGCGACCAAGCAGTGCCAGCTATCTCTATTAATATCTCGGTGCGGGGCCCGGGGAGATGGGGTAGCTGCAGAAATAGCAGGTGCCTATTGCTTCTTTTAACATCAGCATCAACAGCAGTAAAATTAGACCACTGTGACGCCAACCTGCGTCGGTGCTGCAACCCAGGGGAGTAACCAGGCAGCGTGTACCGATAACAGAGAGGGGAGGAAAATAGAGCAAGACAAGGGGAGAAGGAGAGGAGAAAAGCGATGAGCGAAAGAGGACAGCCGGGCGGGAGACAGACAGAGATCAGTGTGTAATTGTGAGAGCAGATGATGAAACTGCCGGGTTCGCCTACGAGCCAAGACAGCGAGAGCTCAGTCAGGCTTGGCTTCATATTTACAGGGACAAATCCACTAGTACCTTTCCTCTGTTGAAAGAGGAAATGAAAGTTTTAGTCAACAACAGATTTCTGAAGTCTTTCCCTTGTGGTCAGGGGGACGAGGTGACCTTACAGTGACAAAGTGTCCTCATAAAGAAACAAGTTAGGCAACATCAAGTGAATATCAGTATGGTGTTCAATTCTGAGCCTTACGGTGACGGGCAAGTTCATCTGACACGGTGCAGATGGTTCTTTGTTTTGTGTGTCATTTATTGCAGGTCATAACAAACCAATTTATGTCTCAAATCCATCTGGACAGTGTGCGGTTATTTCCGTATGTCTGCTTCTCAGGTTTACGTGTTTAGTGTCTCAGAGCGATAACAGGCATCGCTCACTGAATGTAAGCAGATAGTTCAAGGGTGTGTTGACTTGCGTCAGCAGGCATCCACTTTTTAGGAAGTAACCTAATTTGGAAAAGTAGGCATGATTGAATACAGCATCTGAGGAAGCACAGATGTACCAAGAAAGTTGGTCAATCAAAGGTAAGAGGAATTTTACAAGTGGCTCACAGGTTCATCTCAGGCACATTAAGAGAAATTAATAATCCCAAAATGTGTCTCGGGGATTGTAGTTCAGTGAAAAAAGTGTATTAATCATGATATTTTATTTTTTTAAGAAGACTACAAACACAAAAAAGAATTGTTAGAAATGGATTCCTGTCCCCAATTGAAAAGCTCTGCAGCACAGAGTACTGTGTGATGTGCTATTCTTAGTGGTTATTTGACGTACTGAGCTACAGTACTGGAGGGATTTCTCTATCCAATAATTACTGTTCACCTAGTGCCAGACTCCCCTCACAGCAGCGTGTCCTCGTCCTGTCTCAAGGGATCAGTAACAAGGATGTTTCCCTGGAAACTGGACAGCTATATCATATATAATTTGGTAATCCAGGAGCAACTGGCAGTAAAAGAATAGCTTTTGAGTTTTCAAAAATACGCCAGCCAACACAGTGTATACCCGTATCACAATTCAAATTTGCATGCTGGAGTATTATGCAATTATTGAGTCGATATCTTTGTAATACATTTAGTCATCCATGCCATAACTATGAGTAGTTTAGCTGTTTCAAAATTAGGAACAGCCATCTTGCTGTGCCCATTTCCCGCAGAGTAAATGAAAGTGGACTGTGGTTTTCTTTACCTAGAACGGATGTGTTTGCGAAAGCCTTCCCACACACTGCCACTCAACATTAGCCTCACACAAATGGGCGTTCAGACTCACTAGGGGGGCTAAGGTAAAAAAGAAAAACGCTAGGGCATGATATTAAACTGGTTTTCTTGTTACTCAAAACATTTGAGGCTCTAAGATACAAGTGGAAAACAGTCACAAAAAATATCTCTGTGTAGAGACGACACAGTTCTTGATCAGATCAGATCTTTTGGTTCTCCGGCCCTCTGCTGTTCAGCTTATCACTCATCTGGCGGCCGTACCTGATATGAGATTACAACATTTGAGTAGGTGGAGGAATGCGTAACCCGGGCGTTGTGACATGATGAAATGAGGTGGAGACAATAGATTCCGATCAATACTATCAAATCAAGTCAGGAACCAAAATAATTAAGATATTTTATCATGAGAGGAAAAATTGACACACTATCCAGAGAAAGGTTTAATTCAAATAATGTACCCTTACCAGCTACACAATGAAAAGGTGATAGGTATCACTAAGTCAGTGTTTTCCTCCAATAACCATTACTCAGTGTAATGATGTACTCAGTGTTACTGAAGTGTAATCTTGGAAAATAGACTAAATCATAGAAAAAAAACATTATGTTTGTCCCACATAGCCATTCTTGTTTAGTGAAAAATAGAAGATGTATATATCTACTCCCTGGTTTACCAAAATTGGGTTTCTTACTCCAAACATAGATGGGTTGTTCGTGTAATTGCCATCGGTGTAGAAGCAAATGCTGCATACTCTTGAATTTTATATCCTACATAAAAGGAGATTAATCGTAAGGTATACTCAGAACTTACTTTTAATTAATATCTTTTGCGCCTCAGTGGGTATAAAAATGGAAAGCTATGAGTGAGTTATGCTCGGGTTTTTAGGCCAATAATATCGTATTCATGCATTTTGCCCTCCGCGTCGGCAGGGGGCGCTGGAGCGCTGACTGCAGCCGGCTGCGTGCGCTGTAGCCTGCTGTTAAGCTGGTTAGCTGGCACGGGCTGGTTGGTCGGTCGGTTTGGTGGTAGCCATGGCTCGGATCGCTGCGCTAGTGCTGCTACCGGTTCTTATTGAATCGGTATTTTCAATTTCCTTTTTTTTACCGGTGAACACAAGAAAGTGTTTACGAGAGGAAATCCATAAAGACGTCCTCGTCACTGGGGAGTATGAGATCAGCGAACAGGCGAACACCAAAACTCATCTGAAGGTGAGCCCCGACCTGCGGCCAGCTATGCTTAAGCCGACCGAGTTTACTGAGGCCGTAAAACAGCATCTCCTTTCACCCCTTTGCTGAGGCCATGAAGCAGTTGCAAAGGCAAAGCATTTCCATACAGTAAGCCCTGAATAAGCTGTAGGCGGAAAAACACCGAAACGTACCAGCTGTTAGTACTGGTGCTAGGCTAGGCCCGGAAACTCGTCTTCCTGGATTTACCAGCTAATTAGCTAGCTAGCTGCCGTCAGTTCTCGTTTTTTCTCTGGTTATTTGGACGTAACTTGCGTATTACCACTAAGCATAACTACCTATCAAATATACCTATGGTCTGTCACCAATGTTGTGTTTAATTACTGATTCTCGGTGGTTTTATTTGAAATGATCCAGTGAGTGTCATCATGTCGGCGCTGCTGCTGTTACACGTCAGTCTTCCCTTCCATTCAACTGGCAAAGACAAGCTAGCAGCGTTAGCCCCTTACACGTCAACGAAACTTGTGTGAAAAATGATTACACTGAAGCAGGTCTGAAGATTGATTTACATGTACCAGACGAGAGTATCTATTTTTTTGCATTAATTTCGAATCATCGTAACATCAAAAGAGGATTCGTGTCGTCCTTTCTCTAACAGCTGACAGTTTGCAGAAGACCTACAGCGAACCTCAGCGAATAACTGGACATCTGACATGATTTAAGTTACAGAAAACTAAATGGTCATTCTGTCACTAGGCACAATGTATTTTTTGGGATTAAGAGCGTTGAACCATAAAATATTGATTTTATACTTACCCCAAATTATTCTTATTGTGATTCAAGGCATCTGCAGTTAATTCTCTACCAGCCTGTTTAGCTGTTAACAAAATGACGTTGTGTACCTATAGATCACAGACTCTTCCAGCCACACTCTATATTCCAAGGAAGATGCAACTAAAGGGAAGTTTGCATTTACCACAGAGGACTATGACATGTTTGAGGTTTGCTTTGAAAGCAAATCCCCCATGGGTAAGTCTGTTAACCCCAAAGACGCATTACATTATCCATCTGTTCAGTTTGCTGTCACCAGAACTATTGTACACCAGCGGCATGCTTAGATTGCATAGAAGTATCAGCCGTTTGCACTGAATTACTTTTTCGTTTCTAATGTGGCTTGAATTTGAGAAAGTCCAACTGAAAGTCTGAAAAGTCTTGTAACTCCACTTTGTTTACATAGTACAATATGTGAGCCCTGTGCTAGATGTTTAAAATTTCAGTCTCAATGAAATGTTTGTAAAACGAAAACCCGCAGGAACTGGACGAGTGCCTGACCAGCTGGTCAATCTGGACATGAAGCACGGTGTTGAGGCCAAAAACTATGAAGAGGTAAGACTCGGGTGGCGGAAACGTCTGCTTGCTTTTTGTAGAATGTTGCACATGCCATGAGACGTTGTAGAGCAGCTCGTTGCATGCGGATGCTTTTGACTTCTGCTGTTTGATTATCTGGAAAGTTAAAGCATCTTTTTAGTTAGTGCCAGCATCGTCCTGTCTGTTGTTTTTTTTGCGTTGTTTGGGATAAAGCTTCAGATTGGCTCATCGTGGTAAATTAAAACCTTCTAGATCATGAAACAAATCATTTTATTAGAATGAAAATATTACAAGCACATGTAAACTTTTACCTCTGAATGCTGAAAAAGGTCTACGACTATAATAGTAAAACCAGGGCATTAGCAATGTCTTAAACTGGTCATTTACTTATTCTTAATCACCGTTTATGCCTGTTGGTGCTGCCGTCAGAGCATTCTAATGATGTCAGAAATGGAATTCTCTGGAGGAGTACTTTTATATCAATTTGCTACTTTTTTTTACTGTGCATCATAACATTACTGCAGAGTCGTGGGCGAATTCTTAATCGGTACCGATGTGATAAATTGCTGAGCCGAGGATCTCCTTCTCCACCCACACATAAGTAGCCGAGCTCACATTCTGCTCATCCAAATGAGCGCGTTGGTGGATGTACAGAGTGCGCGAGGGCATTCCTGTCTGTGGGCAGGAGCGTGGAGCCCAAGCTGCTCACGTATTCACCTGCGTCAGAGGATGTTACTCTGGGCTCATTTTTAGGGTTTTCAGCTGGGGGGTTGTTTTACAATTTTTACTTTTTTTACAAGTTTTATTTAAATGTTTAATGCATTCGATAGATTTTTCTTTTGTAAGTAATTGGCTTCCTTTGGTCCAGATCTAAGAGAGGTTATTATTAGACTACTATTGGAATATATTTGGGGGGGCGGTTATGCATATTTATGGGTACCGGCCATGAAGTGAGGGCTAACTGGTAAGATTAGCTTATTTGGCACACATAATTAACATTGTCAAACTATACAGTTATTTTTATTTTATATGGTTTTGGTTTTATATGTTTTTATTCTGTTAACAACAACAAAAAAGTTTTCATTATACAGACGCTTGTGTGTGGGACTTATCTGCATCATGCCTGCAGTGACAGGGTCAGCGTGCTCTTAGTCAAAAGAGTAGATTAAGTCATGGCCTGCTTTTGATTGTCTTTCAGCTCGTTTTGTCTAAGGTTTTCTCTCGGATTCTCTAGATTCAGAGCACCTGCCGTCTTAGTACTCTAAGAAAGAGACTCGTATGTCACAGCCCCAGTTTAAAAAAAAAAAAAAAATTTATGACAATTGTCAGCTTTTGGGAACGGGCTTAATTTCACAGGGGTTAATAAACAGTTATGGTTTATTACCAAAAGCAAAACTTAAAAAGTCTGAAACGTATGTGGATCATATGAGCTATGAAATGACTTTGCTTGTGTTCATTATGACTGTGCTTCATGAAACCACTGATGGTGGTGATTGAGTTGGAAACGGCTGATCGTTCATGTCAGTAACACATTTGTGCCATGTCAGGATTTAACAATGGATGACACCTGATGCCCGTTCACACTTTTTCATGGAGGGAAGTAATTCAAACAAGCATGGAACTTTAGAAGCCTCAAGGTGCTTTGCGTAAAGATACTGATGGTTGACCAGCAGTCAACCAAGAGTGGTGCCCTCTCAATCAGATTTACCGAGCTGGTGGTGTGTGGTTTTAGCTTTCCTCTGGCATCTGTTACTTTTTAAAAGCTGCAATAAACCCAACCAAGGTAACGGAAAAGGCTTTGACGCACTTTGTTTTTCCAAACATGGCAGAGTAGTCAAGCTAAACTTTGAAATACAACATAGCTCAAGACTTCTATGACTTTAACTCCTTAAACATGAAGTCTAATCGATGTCATGGAATTCTTTACCTTTTGTGTGTGTGATCAGCACAAACCGGCCTTGTAGGACACAGCTGTTCTGATTCACAGAGCTGGAACAGTGTGATGGGAAAGGCAGCGGCTGGAACGCTGTCTGTTCTCCAGGCCAAAGAGGGACACCTGCTGGACAGATGGTGAACTGCTTCGCCCTCTCCTTCTTTGGCTCGGTTGTTTCAGTCGCATCTGTTTTGTGCCTCCAGATCGCAAAAGTGGAAAAACTGAAACCTCTTGAAGTTGAGCTGAGGCGACTGGAGGACCTGTCAGAGTCGATCGTCAATGACTTTGCTTATATGAAGAAGAGAGAAGAGGAGATGCGGGACACCAATGGTAGGAAGGGCACAGTGCACACCTGGGCACTGGAGCTTTAAAACGAAACAATAAAAATCATGAACTGAGTGTAGATTAATTGTTTTCATGGGATGAAAGTAACATGATTTGTCCCTTTCACCACTTCAGAGTCCACCAACACACGCGTGTTGTACTTCAGCATATTCTCCATGTGCTGTCTGATCGGGCTGGCTACATGGCAGGTCTTCTACCTGCGGCGCTTCTTCAAGGCAAAGAAACTGATCGAGTAGAGCGACGCCCGAAGGGACGCTGCCAGCCGGTCAGCCAACACATCCCAGCATCCACCCTCCTTGGACTAGCTTCAGCAGACAACAGCAAGCGGGGTCAAGGGGCTCAAATCTAGTTTTCACGGTTGAACGAAAGTATCGACAAAACCTTCACCTGCTTATTTAGTGGTCTGAAACACGACAAGCTCTGCAGGGAGAAATGCACTGTGAGGCGTGGAAGGCCTGTGATGCGTTTCTTTCTGCACCGTTTAGTGTTGCAGCTTACTCAATAAGAACTTTATTCCGTCAATCAGTTGATCAGTGGCTTTTTGGTTTTGAGCTCAGTTTGAGTGAATGTGGATGTGCCATGAGTGAATGTTTTTGCCCTTCTGTTGATATACACATGGTTTTTCATGCCAAGCAGACTAGATCCTTGGTGCCCTTTTATCAAGTGAAGGCTCTTTGAAAATGTGGTTTGTTCTTACTTTAAGACAATTTGCAACCACTGAACTTCTGTGTTGTCACCTAATTTGCATACATGTTCAGTAGCTAAATTTAACCTCGTCTTTAGTTTGTTTGGTTTTTTCATAATGTAATTGCCACTTAGTTGCTTCTACTGGTATAATTCTTGGGAGTTGAGTTGGCAAAATATTATTCTCTTAATTGTAAATTAGGTCACTTATTTTGAGCTCTCGCATGTTCAGGTGTTGTTTTTGGAACGTCCATCAAAAGTATCCAGGAACAAAAAAGAAAACCTTGTTCGCACACCCATATGATTTGTATCACAATCTTCATTCATATATATTTATGCAAGCTTCTCTTGTCGGATTGCGGTGGATGGAGGTTGTGACAAGAACCGAAAAGGCTTTTCAATATACGCCCTTCTCTTTACACTGGTAGACTTATTCTAATGAATTCTTGTTTCATATAACAGTACTTGCAGATCCATCCAGTGTTGTTTGTTTTATTTTTTTTTTGTCATTTGAAATGTTTGAGGCTTGGGTTACATGAGTTTGGGTGGTTGCAGGTATTCATATTGTTTTTCACAGGGGTTAATTGGGGCTGTCCTGGGTACCTTTTTAACAATGAACATGCGCTTTGTGCGCAGTCAATGATTTTTATGTTGACTGATCGAATTTTGTAAATTTGTGTTGGGCTTTTATTCAATAAAAATATTGGATGGATATACATGTATGTTTGTTTGTTTGTTTTTCAAGCAAGTCTCAATTCCAGCAAATGAATGACAACATCAAATAAATATTTATATGACTTATTACTTCCAAGTAATAATTATTACTTGTTTGTTTTTGTTTTTAACCCTTTTTTCTTTCCGTGTGATGGGTACATTTAAACATCCACGATGCCATAATTAAGTATTAATTAAGTGGTTATTTAGCTTTAAAAGTAAAACGTTTAGCTCAATAAAATTTGACCCTTGCCGCTCACTGTAAAGCCAAGTAAAAATTGATGCAATCGCTCGTGAAGCAGTCCACCAATCAGGGAGAAGCATAGTCATTGTCACCCGGATGTAATCCACAAGTATTTCCTTGTCAACATATGTGTTACAAACACATTTCGGTCTTATTCTGACGACGAAGCGGCGTTATTAACAACTATGCCGGGCCCGTACAAAGAAACGGACCTGACAGAGAGGGTGGAAGCTTTTCTGTCCGACCTGAAGCGTGGAGGTAGCGGGACGGGACCGCTGCGGGCCTCGGCAGAGACGGCTCGGGAAACGACAGCCCTGCTCCGGAAAATTACAGCCCAGGCTCGATGGAGCAGCGCAGGTGCCACACACCACTCTATTTACATTTATTCTGACTTACCAGATGAGAATCAAAGTGACAGAAATAGCCAAGAGTCGAGACAGTTGGGTCTGAACTGTGTAGTTTTAAGGTAAAGAATTAACCAAAGAGGGTAACACAGCTCAGCGAAGTGTCAGTTGTGCTCGGTAAGATCAGCAAGTTGTTTTCAGAGCGGTTTATACAGTGAACTGATGCATATATTGACTCAAATATGTAAGAAAAAATCTTAAGGATTTTGGAAAAATTCAGGTGAAAACCACCAGTATTATGACATATTTGTGCTGTAACTGGCGTTTTGTTTGTCTGCACGTGGTTTTTAGAATCTTTAAAAAAAATAGTTATGACACAAGAAGCAACTGTGGGATCAGTTTTCATCACTGACATCCTTTTCTCAGGCGATCTGATGGAAATAATCCGGAAAGAGGGGAGGAGGATGTCCGCCGCTCAGCCCTCAGAGACCACAGTTGGTAACATGATCAGAAGGGTGCTGAAAATCATCAGAGAGGAGTACGCCAGGTCAGGAGATGCATTCATGTTTTTCTTTCATTTTTCTTTTTCTTTTTATAAAGGATGTTTTTTTTAATGTGGTGGCCTGAATTGATTTGATACAGGTTTAGCTTTTCCCGTGCTGCTGTTAAAGGATTTTCTCCCCTCAGGTCTCGAGGCAGCAGCGAGGAGGCAGACCAGCAGGAGTCTCTACACAAGCTGCTGACATCTGGAGGGCTCAGCGAGGAGAACTTCAGGCAGCCTTTTGCTCCTCTCAGAGCCAACGTGATAGAGGCCATCAATGAGTTACTAACTGAGCTGGGTAAAGTGGATTTAGTTTTTTTTTTCCTTTAACAAGCAATTTCTGGAGTTAGATATTCAACAGCCTATTAGATCTTTTAACAGAGGTCCTGCTGATATATCTTTGGTTATTTTTACAGAAGGTCCTCTTTTAGCCAAACAAAAGAATTTAACTATAAGTACCTTTTTCCCCTTTTTCCTGCCCGTTTTTCACTTCAGAAGGAACAACTGACAACATTGCCATGCAGGCCCTGGAGCACATCCACTCTAATGAGGTCATCATGACAGTCGGGCGCTCCCGCACTGTGGAGGCCTTCCTTAAGGACGCCGCGCGCAAACGGAAGTTCCATGTCATCGTGGCCGAGTGCGCTCCCTTCTGCCAGGTCGCCCAGACATGTCAAAGGGCAGAGAAATGTGACCTGTTTGCACTGAAGGACATTCAGAACTTAACCTAATGGTTCTTCTCCAAACAGGGACACGAAATGGCAACCACCCTGTCCAAAGCGGGCATCGAAACCACCGTGATTGCGGACGCTGCCATTTTTGCCGTCATGTCTCGGGTTAATAAGGTATTTACCCCCACAGAAGAGTCAAAGATGGTGTCCTGGGGGCTTGCAGGCCAACCTGTGTGGTCTGCTTACAGGTCATCATCGGAACTCAGACAGTTCTCGCCAACGGGGGTTTAAGGGCGGTCAACGGGACTCACACCCTCGCCCTGGCAGCCAAACACCACTCAACACCTCTTATCGTCTGCGCTCCCATGTTCAAGCTCTCACCTCAGGTAGAAGTACTCCAGTCACAGTTCTACATTTTTGTTTTTGCTGCAAATGCTTGAACCATTTTGTGTCTGCAGTTCCCAAATGAGGAGGACACCTTCCATAAGTTTGTTTCACCGCACGAGGTGCTTCCCTTCACTGAAGGTATTTTTACAACTCAGTCAGTGACTTTTATGATATTCTTTAGTTACATTTGGAGGAACTTGCATCTTATTTTCTGCTTTGCAGGAGAAATCCTGTCGAAGGTGAACGTGCACTGTCCGGTGTTTGACTATGTCCCCCCCGAGCTCATCACTCTGTTTATCTCTAACATTGGAGGACACGCACCATCGTATATTTATCGACTTATGAGTGAGCTTTACCACCCAGAGGACCATGAGCTTTAGTCTGAGAAATTAATAAATGGATGAAATGAATGGTTGATCTGGTTGTTTGGTTCTTTTGTAATTATGTGGTTTAATTTTTTAACCCCACAGGAATAAAAAAATAATTTCCAACACAAGAAAACATTTATGAGAAATCACCAGAAAATAAATATTACAACTGCTTTCCTAAATTTAAGAGCCCCTATAACAATGTTAAATCTTCAATTTGAAGTGGAAATAATCATGAAAGCACATCTTTAAAATAGTTACATCACACTTGTCTGGCCTGAAAACACTCATCTCCATCTCCTGCCTCTTCTGTGTGACAGTTGGCACAAAAATCACTTTCTCTCATTGGCTTTCTCTTATTTAAGAACAGAGTTTTGCTTTTCAAATCCGTGCAACATGAAGAGGTGTTAAAGTGGGCACATCCCCTCATGGACACACTTAACCGGTCATTCAACAACCTCAAAGGCCTTCAACAGATAAGGCCGGATTCTTCCACCTCTGAAAGGCGGACTCGAAAATAATGGGCATTAGTCATCGGTGTAGTGTCCACTGCCCTCCAGCAGGAGGCGCTGAGCAACAGCCAATGCTGCTGTTGTGTTGCTTTTTTTGAATAAGGGGGGAAATATCTCACGAGGCAGCTGAGAGATTCCATACAAAATGTTTCGCTTTATATTTATTAGGAGTGGTTAAAAAGACTGGGTCCCGCTGTATTACTCAGGCTGCACTACAGCGTCTATTCACAGGCGCGATCCCACTACTGAGCGGCACGGGGGCTTTGACCTGCTCCGTTTCCGACCTGGGCCGGTGCACCCCTCCTTAGACGACCTGGTAGTCCCGGGCTCCCCCAGGAGCACCATATCGATACCGAACTTAGTGCGGACACCCGATCGGCATAGTCCACTGCAGCTCAGATCTCCTAAGCTCAAACGGTCCGCCAGCCTCAGCCTCCCGGTAGCTTGGATTACAGGCGCGCGCCACCACGCCCGGCGAAAGACACGAGCTCACACAGAGGCTATGACAAGTTTTTTTCTTTTGTGCGGAGCGTGACGTCATCACAACAGAGAGCCCCACAAATGAATGAATTCTTCAGGAGTTCTTGTCAACGACCAAAACTACAGATGTGTTCAACCAGAAAAGTAACAGTGACGTTTCCAGCTTAATTTATCCAATTAGAAGCGAGATCAGTTGAAGAGGCTGGGCTGCACGTGCTCAAATGGTTTGCCCCCTGTGACCAAGAAAAAAAAAAAAGATTTTTGAGGCACTGAAGTTAGATTTGTAAATATTTTTTTTCTTTAAGTTTAGATTAAACCAAGTTTGAGCTAATATTAAACAATTCTGTAGATTATTGGACAAAGATAAGTACCATGTACATAGTTTTTGTTAGCAAATTGCATCTTTGTGTGCTTCATTTATTCTTTCATAGTGAATTAAGTGATGTAATTGGGTATTGTCTGCTTTTTCTGGGAAAAACGGGCTCTATAAAGACTTTCCCTGTAGGCCACATGGTCCACTGTAAGTAGCTGATATTTTTATAGGCCTGTTCTTATGGGAACATACACTTATTTTGAGAAAATCATTATTTCAACAGTTCGATTTATTAATTTCTCTGGCATTAGTTATGTTTAGTGGATCAAATTTACCATGTCATTTACAAATTTGTTACCCCATATCTTTCTTAAAAAGTATCATACACTAGTTTAGACAGAGTGCCTTTGTGTGCTGTAGTATGTAACAATGTTTAATTTGCTGTACTTTATTTTCTAATTACCCGTAATGTTCAATTGGATTCAGGAAAATAACATTTTGTCTCACGATTCAATAGAACACACATAGACTGTTCTTACATAAAAAAATCGACTTTGAACAGAGTTGTGAAGGAAAATCTATACATTCTTCAGTTGCAATAGTTTTTATTACAAGTTCTGTCTTTTTTAGATTTTATCAATGCAAATTATAATATCTTACTACAAGTTAGTCTGTGTAGAGTTTCACATTGGAAACAGTTTGAATCTGTAATGCAATAGAGTTTTGGCAAGTGTGAGAAGTAGTTGAATAATGAATGCTGCAAGGATGAGGGTCAGAGGGGAGCATGTGAAGTGGTTTGGCACCCCGCTACGGTCTAGCAGAGAGACTGCATTGTTCGCTGACCTAAATTGGAACCGAAGGGGAAAAGGTCAAAGTGATTTGGATTCAGCGGCAATGTCATCGCTCCCCACTGCCCCACACTCGCCGGGTAGACCATGACATAATCCAGCTGTCACACGGCATTTTAGGATTTAATGAAAGTCAACTAATGTGGCGGATTGGGTCTCATTTGAAAAAAAAAGGCCATAAGTAAGTAGTGGTAGATTGAGATGAACTTCAGTCAGAGAGCGCAACCTGTAGTAATATCATTTTAACTTCAGTCGCATGAACTGTGCTGCCTGATTTCCCGCCAGTGAAATCAATTCAGAGCCGCGTCCCATCTTCGAATGCAAGAAAAAGATGCAGCCACACTGTTCCTGTCCCTCATCAGTATCTCGAACGCATCCAGTGGCATCATCACGTTTTATGGGTGTGCCCCAGCCAGATTCCTCTCTCTGTGTTTATGAGCTCATCTTAGAGCAAGAGGGTGAGGGGGAGGGAAAAAACATAAATCACACCCTCTTTTTTCATCCCACCGACTCCATTCTTCATTCTTCAGCCTTATGATGAGGCAGGGGAGCAAACCTGGATGGAGTTTGGAGATTTACAATGGATGAAAGGTGCAGGTCATTAAAGCCTGAGTGCTCCTCTAATGAACAATCAGATCCGGAGGAGTACAGTATCTGTGGAGATCATCGATCCACGGGCGTCCTCGGGGACATGTCGACTGTAGTCCCACCCTGTCGCACCACAGGACAACAAAATGAGTCTTTGTTTTATGTAACCGCCTCAGTGTCAAGGTCAGAGACATATTCAGTATTTAGTAGATCAGGTTACGGTGTATCCGCCTAAAAGGATGAAGCATGCATCAGATAGAGCTAGTACTACACACACTGCACCAGCAGCTGCTATAATCCCCCCCCCCCCCCCCCCCCCCCCCCCCCCGGCCCGGAAACCCCCCCCCCCCCCCCACCACCTCCACCGGGGTGCTGACGTGCAGCCTGCAGGCCCAGCTGTTTCTGATGATGCTGAGCATCAGACTGCGGTGTGGTGTTATCAGGGCTTTGGTGTCTCATGGGAGAGGCGAGATGAGGGCTGTAATTAGTGTGAAATGAGGCCAGCGGCAGGCCAAGCATTCCCTGAGAGCCTCAGGGGACGTGGAGGCGCGTGGCTAACCTGTGGGGCCATACCTGTCGCTCTTAGGGATGCTCTGCTTCGTTTTTGCTGCCTAGACACAAAAGGAAACTGTATCTGTATGGAGCCGTTCATAAAAAAGGGAATGCCCCATTTCACAGCATCAAAAGCACCAGTACTCTTCTTTCTGTCTTCTTGTTTCCTCCCGATTTGCTTATATAGCCTTCAAGAGAGTCATTGGTAAACAGGAACATCATTCCTCTTTCTTTAGTATAAAAGTAGTTACTCAGAAAAGGTTGGAGTCGCAACAAGAACAGCATCTTCTTTCGTAGATGAAGAAAAACAAAAGGACTGAAGAGTAATCCTCAGGAGAAATATTTTAGCACTACCAGTGTGTAATGTAAACCAAAGCAACCACAGAAAATGAATGACCCAAAAGATTTAAAATGTAGAAGAATTACCATCATCACTCTATCGAAGCATCTACATAAAATCGGAGGCTAAGGCTGAACGATGCTGGTCCAGTGTAATGTTTAATGACTGTTTCTTCAGAAAGTACAAATCAGAAGAATTTATTTTACTCCTCGAGAATTCCTCCTCAATCATTATTTTATTTATTTCTAAAATCAAAACTCTTATCAAGAAATGCTTACATCCAAAACAAAGACTAAGCTAATCTTTAATTATGTTATCAAAAACTCCACATAAATGGCTCACACTCACTGTGCGCTGACTAGAATAATGAACGAGTTGTGCCTTTGTGTGTGTGCACGTGTGGCAGCGTCTGCCTCTGGACCTGTGTCCGCTGGTGTGTGCAGGCATATGAGATCCACCCGTGCTCCATCTGTGTCTGTTACTGATGAGTAAAGCCACAAAATAGATCCAGCTGGAGATGTGCTGTGAGGGCTGGAGCCTCCTGGGAAATCATCCACACCTCTCCTCTGGCACCATGTCCACTCCTCTAGCACCCCTGAGAGCTATCAATAAGTGGGTAATTGAATTTTAAGCACAAACACTGTCATCAAAGGAGCGTCAGCGGGTGTGTGCGCATGTGCCGGTGTGTGTGATGGGGGATGTTTAGCGGGGTGAACATGGTGATGCTGTCATCCTGCCCTGAGGGGCTTTGCACTGGAAGGAAAAATGTTTGATCCATTAAACAACAATTACAGTCTGTAATGATGCAGAGTGGCTTGTGGCAGGAGGGGGGATAATATGACTGAACCACTGTCACGGTGGTGGTGTCTTACTGGTATTTCTTCACATCACACTAATTAACCATGGCTGGCAGCACACACATCCAGATAAAATGATGCGGCACTATCCAGAAAATAGTCATTTGTAGAGCCATTGTAGACTTTCCAACTTCCGTACTTAGCTTCTTTTTTTTTTTTTTGCTTTGAATTTTGCAAGAGCCAAGCAGGGGTAATAATTCTCAAAATGCATTTGTTTAAACTCACACCATGAAATAGGAAGAGTATACATCAAGTACCATTGAGGCCGCAGAGACCTGTTCTGTGGAGTCTCTGTACTGTCAGTTGTGTTTTAACTGGTGGTTCTTTGTCAGGTTTGCTTTTGCCTGATTAGCTTCAATGTTTGTGGGCAACGTTGGTTGCTTCCCTGGATCTTGCAGCGGGGTGCAAAAATTACCTATAAATTCTCGAGCAAAAAATTTGAAGACAACACATTACGTGTTTTAAAAAGGAACATGATAAACAAAACTGCACAACTTTATTTTGCAGTTGCAGTTGCATGATACAATGTATTGCATACAGCGCTCAAAATTG